AGATGTGCTGCATCCAGATTAGGCAGTCTTGCATCTGTGTGACTTGCTCTAGTTTCATAAAGAGGTTACATTCCTCTGAGTAGCAGCATGTGGCAAATTTTATAAAGTTCACTGAAAAAATTGGTAAAACATCAGATACACGGTAGTGTTAACCCTCATTATATGTGTTATGCTGTAGACAGAGGTACAGGAAAAAATACATATAGAAGAAAAAAACCCAATATTGACAGAAGAACAAGTACAAAAGAAGTGTTTAACTGAGATTACCTACAAATTTCTTCCAGTATAACTAAGTACATGAATATGATTTTATCTGATAGTAAAATGAGACAAAAAGTTGGAAAGTTAAATTAATCCCCCAGTTTTTTAAATTAATTCTGTAAATCATGAAAGTTAGCAAACCAATGACAACTGATATAATTGACATTATAAAAATTAAGTATGTATTTTAACTACTTTAAAAGCAAACTAAAGAAACCTTAAATTGCATAACAAATTAACATCTGTTTAATTAGAGCATAAATCAAACCTCCCCCCTTCTAATCTTTGGCACTATTGCCTCTAAAAGATGGTAAGAGTGGGATTTTCAGCTTAGTTACATGCCAACTTGTGTGTGTAGAGTACAAAAGGGTACAATTTTAAGGCAAATTAAATTTTATAGTCTACTGACCTCAAAATAACTACCGGTACTTTAAAAAACCTGAACAAGCCAGCCTATCATCACCTAAAAACCCAATTCAGAGCAGATTCTCTTTTATTGGAGGTCAGTTGTTTAAAAAGATGTTATGAGTTTTCTTCAATTTTTTAGAAGCTCTACTTGACATTTTCTTCATTGTAAAACTTCACGTCTAAACTTTAAAATGAATAACAAAACAATCTGTTATCTAGTGTCAAAAACACTGCATAATTTGTACAGAATATAGCTAAACCTATAAAAAATGAACACCCCTTTCTGGATCAAACTTCCTTTTTTCCTTTAGATAGAGGAGCAAATGGTTAAGACAATTCTGTCAACCAGGTATTTTCTCAGTTATTTTCTCAGCACCATTCAGTTCCCAGTAACAGGCTTCTATTATACTACTGGAGACGGAACAGAATGTAGTTATAGAATACTAAACAGAAAGATGCTGTTGACACTCCTGTTTGGTTAAACATTTTCATATTTTAAAGCAAAGCAAAAAATTTAAAACAGGATATGTTATAGATATTGAATCATCAAGAGATTGATTTAAAAACAGAAAGTTCATAAAGGCAAGGTGTGTCACTCTTCAATAATGGTTTGCTTAACACAAGTCTGAAAATAATCAACATGCACTAACTAGATTACATTTTGGTATATTCCTATTTGCATAAATCCAGAGAACTCCTGGTATATGTTTGAAAAAAGCAATTGATGTACAATTAAAAGAATCAACTATGACAATTTTAACCAGGAAAGCAAAAATCCTTGCCCATTATTATAGATATTAAAAAAAAATTCTAATGATGCACACTGCCTCATTTTAGAAATTGATCAGGTTTACTAAATGAAATACATTCATTTCTAGTTTTAATTATTATAGCATGGGAAAAAGGTTACTATCACTATTTGTTATTTCTAAATATGTTAATGGAAATGTGAATGTAGGAAATTTGGCATCTAATTTTTGCAGCTCTAAAGCTGCATGAGTGAAATATATGAGGCCCAGTGGAATTAGAATCCAGAAAACAAATTAAAATCTTTACAGACATTTGGAACCTCCGTATACTTTCAAAACTGATCATTTAAGGGGATAGATCAACTTACTGCAAAGTCTATCAAGAAGCATTATGTTGTGAATTTCCTCTACAGGCTATCTCAAAATCTTTGAAAGATACTTAAATGTGATGCCCAACCTGTGCATTATAGACTAAATTATGGGACCAATACTCTCATCAAATAGTACCTAACTTCACGAACAGAACCATTTGAATTAATAGGTTTTTTTGCAGATTTACTAGAGGATATCAGAATCTGGTCTTACACATTTAATTCGTCTAATAATGTTCCACAGCACATATAAAAGCTTAAAATAACTGCAGGTTAAGGCTTGCCGAAAATAGTGTCAGTATAGACATGACCTCACCATAACAAATCAAGGCCATGATCCTACACTGTGACTGGCATGGGCATAGCAGTCTGCTCACACAGATCACAATGCAGGATGGAGGGACACAATGTCCAAACAGGTAACATTTTGCATGTCTGAACTGATATGAGTAAGGTTTTCAACTAAATGTGTATTAGTAAATTTTAAATCTTTCCTGTTTGTTAAAACTGTTTGACATCATTTTTTCAAACTATAAAGCATGCATATTTCTGTGTTATTTATGCAATTAAAAATATAAGCAGACTCATGCATCAGGTTCTTTAATTGTTGGAATGTGGCAAATATCTTCACTGTCAAAAACAGCTCAAAAGGCTAGAATATTCTCTTCTTGTAAGAGGATAACCTTTTTCTTGAGAACATTCAAAGACAAAATTTTTCAGTGACAAGATTAAACAGCTACAACTCGCTATCTTTAATTACTAATATATGATTCAGGCCCTTTCCCTGTTTCTGAATGCTTTTCTCTTGGGGCTATTTTTCTATGCTTAGGCACTACTAAAATTAGAAGGTCTGAAAAAAAGTTCTAGCTGGAAACATGATGCAGCTAAAGACTACTTTTCTGTACAATAAAGTTTTATTCTACACAAGAATCGAATAGCTGTTGGAAACTGTAATAGTACAGTGTACAACTACACTAAGTACAGTAGCCAATTTGTTAAAAAGACATTTACAGAACATATTAAAATATTAACAGTTATGCTCTTCATCTAATGAATATACACTGCAGAGTCTCAAAATGTTTTGCCTGACCCAACAAACATGCACAAGGAAATGGCAATGTGATCTAGTTTACAGCATTGCCAACTGAATTATTTAATCTCTCTCACCATGTGGTGATTTTCCTGCACCATCCTGTTGCAAACAATGAACATACTGCAAATCTCAATTTAAGAAAGACAAGGAAGATTAACTTTTCTATCTTGTTTTTTGTTTCATTGTGTAAAACACAATGGTGAAAGCAAAGCTATTGGAAATATTTGCATTTTGTTATGAACATTTGGAAAATCAATGAGAATAAGCTTTTTCATGTACAACTATTAACTTAAAAATGTCAAAACTCTATCAAACTGAAAAGAAAGGAAAGGAGTGACTTTAAAAAAATACTAGACAGCTATTTTATGTTCGGTCATCCTAGGTCATGCACGCCTGATTAGCAAATTATTGGCAGGCTGAGAGGCACAACACTGATCAAGTTCCTTGACCTGCACAATCTGCATCTGAAGGTATTTTTGCCCTAAACATTGTAAAACCCATCTGGAATCCAGTATATCAGCATGGTCCTGTTACATGCTATTGCTTATTTAGTGCATCTGAATCTCACTGCTTCCTAGTACTAAATATTATTACTACTTGCACTGTAGGTGCAAAATCATTCATATCCAAGCTTTTAAAAGCGATATTTTCATTTATGAAAGCAATTTTGGGGGCTTTTAAAATAAAAATCCTAATCACTGAGAAACAGAACCAGGTCACCACAAAAAAGGATCACATATAACTTCTCTGTAAGTCCAGCCAAACTCCCAAGTGACATCCTCACACTTCATATCCTTGGGGGAATTTTTTTTTAACACAATACAAACTACCGATAAATTAATATTCTTTAATAGTAAAGATCAACTCAGATTTCCCTGAATTAAATATTTTCCATTCTACAGAAGAAAGTATCATTATTGACTCTCAGAACTTACTTAGAGAGAAAATTCTCTCTTCAAAACTTAGTCAGAGGATGCTTTTGGACTCAGTGAATTTAACAACAGATTTTTTGGAAGGGGAGAGGAATAAATGTACTGCAAGTGGGACAAGCTGAAAATCTTTCATTACTGTATCATCAAATCTTCCACCTCTGGTTTAAAAAAAAAAGATACACAAGAAGCAGAACAGGTGAAACAGAAAGGAGTAGTGCTACTGAATTACTTAGGAGGCCAATTCATCTCAACATTTTACTTAGAAGTTCTATTTCAGTATTAAGCCTCCAAAGCACAAAGCCCACTTCATTTCTATTCACACACAGATTTCTTTTTTTTTTTATAAAGAAAAACCAACAACAGCTTTATACTTTTCATGCAACAATTCTGGACTTCAGAGATTCACTGCAAACAAATAACCACAAAGTACTTTAATGCTACCACTATCTATCCAGAACACCAAATATATTACAAAGTAAGACAAGGTAAACATTTGCTTCAATTTTGGCTTCATGCATATCTACATTTTTTAAAAAGTAAGCTAAAATCCTACTGTATATCTTTACAGTATATCATGTTCATTTCACCTTCTAAAAGTAATAAGAACAGTATCTAACTATGAGTGAGTAAATAAATGTAAATTTGATTTATTTAATCAAATTAATGTCTCGAAATATCTTGCAACCTTGAGAAGGTGAAAGACTTATTTTTATAACCTAATTTCATTTCAGTTTTATTAAACTGTCTTCATTATTCTGTGCGCACACACAGGCACGCACAGAAATAGCGATATCTACTTACAGTTTACACAAATATTTACATACATATTATATACAAACTAATGTGACTGCATGATTTTCAATATAAAAGCATATGCTTCTTTCTAGCACATATAATTGTTGCGTTGGTCTTACAAGAGTAATATAAACCTTTTGCAACAACTAGCTAAAGCATATACCACAGCTGATCCAGGTTTTCATAGCTTGTAGGTTTAAAAAAAAAAAAATACAATACCTAGAACACTGTTATCAAACAAATATGCTTTATTGGCATCTAAAAACAAAATGCACCCAACATTAAAATGTACTTTTATCATTTTTTTTTAACCCACTGCAGTACGAGGAACAAATCACAGACACTTACTTTAGAGAAAACAGAGACTATAGTGTGGATTTTACGAAAGCACTTTTAATCTCTGTATTATGCTCCTTAAATGACCAGGGCTATTTCTTTTTCTCTCTTTCTTTTTTTTTTTGGGTGTGTGTGTGCGCCAAATTTCAGGAACATAAAATATCACAGCTTTGTCTATGTTTAAAATTCTGCAGCAGCCTAAAAACATGGACAAGATACACCAGCACCTGCTTTCAAGTATAACAATTTCCACAGCCAACCTAATGGTAGTATCTAAAAAAATTCCATTTTCTTCCATAGGAAGTCTCTGTTTGACAAGCTGTTATTTATCATTGTGACATTAAAAGCAACTGGGGGCAAGTCTGTGTTTTATCAGAGAAATAAAAAATGTTTACCTACCATGTTCAAATTAAGAACAGTGTTCTATACAAGTCAGTTGTACAGTTATTTAAGTGAAAGATGAACATCAACATCAGATTAACTTAATTCTGGCAGACAAAAGTGAACTGCTAAGGTCCAGTCAGCCATTTATCTATTACAGAGAGATGACAACTTTACAAAAGGTATCTTTTACCTACTGAGTGATGATTATGTCCCCTCAGTTTCTGTGCTTTCTACCACTGGTTCACTTTCTATATCAGCTTCTGTGTCACTCTTCTCTTTGTTTATCTCACTTGAAGATGCTAGTTTTTCATAAAGTTCTGGATCATTCTGCACTTGCACATTTGGTGGCTGACTTTCTGTCTCTGTATTTTCACCATTTACCTGGGGTATATTATCAGCTTTGCGCTGTGAAGTGGCCCCTTCAAAATATTCAAAAACCCTTGGATGTGGAGGAGGGATCCAGTTGTTCTGCATTCTGTCTCTTCCAAACCTGTTTCCATTTATTTCTCTGCAAAAATTAAAATCTCTGTCATCCCTATCCCTCTGTCTTTCCCAGGGTCTTCTACGGTCATCAAAATCTCTGTGAGCATCTTGTTCAAATCCCCTGTTCCAGTTGGGACCACTTCTAGTATCAAATCTGTAATTTACATGCCGAAATCTCTCTCTATCTTCATGGAAGCTTTTAGGACCACCATAGATAGGGAAAACATTGTGTTCTCTTTCATCATAATCTCCTCTCTGTCCCCAGTGCTTTTCTGAATTGAAACCAAAATGCTCTCTTCGACCAATATTATCCACACCTGGTCTTCCAAAATTCTCTCTCATATCTATATGTGGTCTTGCAAAATGTTCTCTTCCATCTATTGGAGGTCTTCCAAGACCCTCTCTTGGATCTACTGGTGGCCGTCCAATAGAATCCCTGACATCGACTGGAGATGGTCTATTAAGAGTCTCTCTGTTTTCCACTGGTGGAAAGCGATAGTCTCGGTCTCCTTCTTGTTGAATGCTATCACCGCCAAGTGGTAACCTTTTTTCTGGATTAGAAATGCTATCAACATTTTGTCTTCCAGGTGTTCCAAAATGTCTCTCTGTTTGGTTAAAAAGATCTCCTGGAGGAGGAAAAGGACCTCTAGGTGGTGGATGAAGGGATGGGTCAAGGATTGTTGGAGGAGGGATATTACGCTGTGGTGGCATTCCAGGCTGTATTAATGGAAATCTTGGTCCAGGTGACTGGGGTATTAGTCCTGGACGGAGATCTAAGAGAGGCATTCCGGGCATCCTTTGACTACTAATATTTAAATGGGGTATGTTTTGAATCCCTGCTGGATGCTGCATCCCCAGAAGTCCAGAACTACTTGAGACATTGGGTGGTGGCACTATTAGAAGCCCAGAGCTGCTTGAGACATTGGGTGGTGGCACTCCCGCCAAAAGTCCAGAGCTGCTTGAGACGTTTGGTGGCGGCACTCCCGCCAAAAGTCCAGAGCTGCTTGAGACGTTCGGTGGCGGCACTCCCGCCATAAGTCCAGAGCTGCTTGAGACGTTCGGTGGCGGCACTCCCGCCATAAGTCCAGAGCTGCTTGAGACATTCGGTGGCGGCACTCCCGCCAAAAGTCCGCAGCTGCTTGAGACATTCGGTGGCGGCACTCCCACCAAAAGTCCAGAGCTGCTTGAGACACCAGGTGGCTGCACTCCTCCCGCAAGTGCAGAGCTGCTTGAGACACCGGGTGGGTGCACTCCTCCCACAAGTGCGGAGCTGCTTGAGACACTGGGTGGCTGCATTCCTCCCGCAAGTGTGGAGCTGCTTGAGACACCGGGTGGCTGCACTCCTCCTGCACGTCCGGAGCTGCTTGAGACACCGGGTGGCTGCACTCCACCCGCAAGTCCGGAGCTGCTTGAGACATCATTTTGAACTGAAATACAATAAAAATATTTAGTAGACTGAAAAAGTCAACATAACATTAAACAGTTTGGAATACAAATAATAATTTAATCCATTATTTCAGTTAATATATACATAGTTGGAATATTTACTTATTTAAATATTTGTAATTGTTTTGAGTTATGAACACAGATTTTTTTTTTAGTCACAATGGTGAAGACTGGGCATTAAGTCATGGAAACCGATGTCTTTATATAGTAAAGAGTGAGCAGAAGCTTTTAAAGGGCAGGGAAAACTACATGCTCACCAAGCCTACACACGTAAAAACGTGAACGTATTTGAATGAATGCTTAAAACTATATATTAAACTTAACTACCAGTTCTTGTCCCATTCCACTTTCAGAAAAATTTAAAGGATATATTTTAAAATACTCTTAACTGGCCCAGCTTTACTTCTCTAGCCTATATGCACACAGATGTGTGAGAGAAATTTCTTTTCCACTGAGGACATGACCTACTGGAAAAGAGTGATCAAGAGATGCTAAAAAAGCTCATTATCAGCACTCTGTCACAGATTAAATCCCAAATCCAAGACCATATTTAACCCAAAACATCCTACATTAGGATGAGTTAACACAATACATATAGGCTAATTTAAAAACTTGTATATATAAAGTCAATTTATAAGCGGCAAAATATGTAGGATACAGACATTTCTTACCAGATCTGTTGTTTTCACTGGAAGAAATCTGAACGTCTGTAAGATGTGATCCTTTTTCTTCTGACTCTGGTTTGTTGCTTGGAAGAGGGTTAAAAACACTTCCCGCTGATAATGTTGGAGTGGCTAGACTGCTAGAAACAGTGCCAACTGGTAAAACAAGGCTACCAAAAGGAACATCTTTCATTGTCTCTTGAGTAATGGATAGAGGAGGCTGCACTAGAGCTGTAGGGGAAAAAACACAAAACAAAACAAAAAAATCTCAGTATTTCTTGCCAATTCAGTTTGGCAGATGCTTTATTGTTAGAGCATATCATCAAATATGTTCACCAAAAACAACGATATTGTTCACTTCGGAATAAATTGTTTTTCAAAAAACATTTGTGATCCTTATAGGCTTCCCAATGCTTCACTCTTAAGTAGTAGATTATAAATAAATACAGAAGCAAACAACACTGGTTTCAACAGGCTTTAATATTCGAACAACTGAATGTAGCCGACTTGAAAAGATTGAATAATGAAAATAATAAATCATAAATAACGAATTCAATGATTGAAAGAAAAATACAGAAATAATTTGCTTAATGAGTATTATTTGATCACCTATACAACTATCGATTAAACAATGTATGTATGAATAATAAATAATTAATTTGCAAATAATTTCTTCAATGACTCCTGGGAAAATATTAAATATACTGTTTGTGAATATTATTAGACCAACTAAATTATGTACTACGAACTTGTTCTCAATACAAAGGTGAAAACAGCATATGAATACCCCATAGAACACGGTATCTACCACAATTTGTATACTATTAAGTAAGAACAGGGTAGATAAAAATCAATGATTTTTATTTTTAAATTTAATTTAATTTAAATTTACTTAAATACAGGGTGGTTTTTTTTTAAATAAACCTATTTAAAATTGCATTTGAAATCATGACAATCTATGTTGAGGCCTAAACTTACCGTACTCTATCAAAATCATTCAAGTAAATTAAAACAATAATACTGAACAGTACATGTTTGCTGCTGAAAGTTAAAGAAAGTTGAACCACTGAATTTATGAGAAGTCACTACTGGCTATGCACCTGGAACCACAGTTTGCTGAAGTGCTACACCAGCTTTTGATGGCAGTATCCTCCTCTGCAGATGCAGAGAGAATATTTTCTTCATTTCAGTTTATTCCACTAGTTCAATTCAATGACTAGTTCATTCAAACTTAAGAAACCAACTGGGAGTTGAAAATGCAGGAAAGCTTGTTTTCTTCTTCCAATCTATAAATAAAAACTAAGTGTGAGAGGATGAGATCTACTTGTTCTATAATTCTGAAGTACAATGGTGACCAGAAACAATCAGTTCAATTCACTAACTAGAGATAATACTTTGTTTAATAAATCAGCTCGTCTTAAATGCAAAACATGTTCTGATATATTTTGTGATAAAGTTTTTTTTCTTATGTACCCAGCATATTTTAGATGACTTTATTTAATAAAAAATGATTTTAAAATATTGGTTTTGTACATTTTTAACTGAATTCCAATTTCCAAATAGAGCATGACACAAATCACAAGTAAAAAATTACTTTAGTAAGTAAGAAATGCATCAGTTACCATTTTCTAACATCATAAAAAAGGGTAAAAATTAAGAATCTAAAGAAATGCAAATTAAGCTATATAATTGCTTAAATAAATGTGTATTGATCTAGTGTATCTCCTGGTTAACAAAAAGAGCCAAATTTAATGTAAAGGCTATATTTAGTTGCAAATCAACATGTTTTAATGGTTATCAACCAATGAGAATCAACTTTTCTTTAAGAAAGTAACTAAAAAGTACAAATGCAAAACAAGATTAAAATTGATTATTATTTAAATCAAAGGTTTCAGAGTAGCAGCCGTGTTAGTCTGTATCCGCAAAAAGAACAGGAGTACTTGTGGCACCTTAGAGACTAACAAATTTATTAGAGCATAAGCTTTCGTGGACTACAGCCCACTTCTTCCGATGCATATAGAGTGGAATAAATATTGAGGAGATATATATACACACATACAGAGAGCATAAACAGGTGGGAGTTGTCTTACCAACTCTGAGAGGCTTGTAAGTATTCTCACACTTCTTATCAAACTGTACTGGGCTATCTTGATTATCACTACAAAAGTTTTTTTTCTCTTACTTAATTGGCCTCTCAGAGTTGGTAAGACAACTCCCACCTGTTTATGCTCTCTGTATGTGTGTATATATATCTTCTCAATATTTATTCCACTCTATATGCATCGGAAGAAGTGGGCTGTAGTCCACGAAAGCTTATGCTCTAATAAATTTGTTAGTCTCTAAGGTGCCACACGTATTCCTGTTCTTTTTATTTAAATCAAAGTTTCCTGCTTGCTGATTTATATCAATCCACCTGGAGTAAGAATTAGTACATCAAACAGCTAGACTTTCATTAACACAAAATTAGTATTCTTTTAAAAAAACAAAACAAAACAAACAAAAAAGACAAACCAACTCACATGTTGGGACTACTTGTGGAACAACAGGTGGTGGAACAACAGGCGGTGGGACTGGTGGAACCGGGGGAGGCATAAAACCTATATGAACAATCAGAAATAATTTAATAATATGGCCAACTCTAATAAAACCTCAGTAATAAAAATAGTTAAACCTCACTAATCTGCACTAATCAGAAGAAGAATGTCCCACTGCAAACTGGCAAGTCAGCGGTGTAGGAAGAGAATCAGCAATGGTTACTGCTTTCCAGAGAGCTCCAACTTTAACACAGAGGATGTATATGTACCTCTTTAAGTAGTCATTTATACCAGCAATACTCAAAGGAACAATTACAGTTTCACCTAATAGTCAAATTTTCCAGTTGAAGAAAAATGGTAAAATGAAACAAAAAAACAAAGAGTTTGATTTTTAAAACTAGATTGAAAATGTGAAGAATTAACTAAGGCTTCTGTCCTGAATCTCTGAGTCAGAAATAATCCTAGCACATAACATATGAAATAATCCTAGCACATAACATATGTTTAAGATACTCAGTTAGCATGGATATACTTATTATACAATCCATTAAAATGGTAACTTACCAGGAGGTGGTTGTGAAGGGTTGAAACTTGCCCGCAAGAAGGGAGGTGGTGGAATTGAACTATACCCAGGAGGTGGGACAGACATTGTGACAGGAAATGATGGTGGAACTAAACTAACAGCAGGCACAGCTGGAGCTACCGGAATCTTTTTTTGGTGGGAAGGAAAAACAAAACAAAAACTTCAATTTTTACATTATTCAATGACTTTGAAAAAGGAATAAAATGATTTGATTGCAATTATTGTTAACTGAAAGCAGTAATTATAATCAAGGTTCTACTTATGCTGTGGAAAGCATGATGAATTACATGGCACTTTGGGGTAGTACACTGGAAATTCTGCAGCAGCTGCAGGTAAATAAAAAATGGAGGGTTTTATAAATTTAATATGGAAAATAATGTATTCACGGTAAGGCATTATTTGTGTTTTAACTAAAATCTTAAATTTAAATTTTATATTATACCTAATTTCTCTAGTATCCTAATTTTATATCAAAAATTATATTGTATTATAGAAGTTGCCAGATAAAGCTGGGATGAAGGCAGTTTTCCTCTGAAAGGTGACTAAAAATAGCATAATAGCACTAAAGTTTATTGTGTTTTGATTTTCATATCAAATTTGTCCCATTTACAAATAAAATTGTTTTTCTAACTGCTATCCCTGCAAATTCACCTCAGTAACTGAAAGTCAAGCTAACTGGTTGCATCTAACACTATCTGCAAAAGTTTCTGTATGTCTAAATTCTGTCCCAATTATATTGGTAGAACCCTGCAAACATAGCTAAATGCAGAATTTGGCCCTAAAATTAGTACTAAGGCCCCAGGCCTCACTACAGGTCAGCAATAATATCGAAGACATTTGAATGCACACTGGGAGAATGCTATGTATCCTTTCTTATTCTCTTTTAAAGAAACAGTATCAAAATACATATTTATATATTGTACTTAATTCAGGAACTAGAGCTTTGATAACTTGTAGGAAAGGAAGACAGCGGGGAAAGGACAGAGAGGGAAGGGAGAAAAGAAAGAATAGGTGATAGGTTGTGCGGAGAAGGAAGGATTTAAAAGGAGTTTCATTATTTTTTTCTCATGCTGTGTCTTTCAGCAATTGAGAGCCTATTTTGGTTTTTGTTTTATAACTCCATCACCTTTCATTTAAAAATTAAAGTATTTAAATATTTCAGTAGAATAATGGTAAGTTGACAGTGCTTCAAAAAAGAAAATGATTTAGTGGGCTAATAAAGAGATTACTCATCCTGTGCAGGTACTGTGGTTCTTTAAAATGTGTCCCCCTATGGGTGCTCCACTCTAGGCGCGCTGCGCCCAATATGCCTCAGATCAGAGATTTTAGGTTGCTGTGTCCATTTGGCCCGCTCGTGAGTCCCCCACAGCCTTGTGCCCTGCACTAAGGCTATACAGAGCTGCATGGGCAAACCGCCCTCAGTTCCTTCTCCACCACAGAGAATGCAGTAAAGAACTCTGAAGCAGAGGGGAGGAGGGTGGATAGTTGAGCACCCAAAGGGGAACACATGTTGAAGAACCACACAGTTACTGCACAGGTTGAGTAACCTCTTCTTCTGCGAGTAGTGTGCCTATAGAGGCTCCACTCTAAGTGATTATCGAATAGTAACCTCTACGGAGGAGTGGGGTCTAGGAGAAAAGTCTAAGATTGAAGATAAAACAGTAGACCCAAATATAGCATCAGAAGCTGAAGTATGAGTGACTGCATAGTGTTCAGAAATGTATGAATAGGCTCCCAAATCACGGCTCTACATATTTCCACGACGGGAACATTCTTAAAGCCTACTGAAGTGGAGAGGGATCTCATGGGAGTGAGTTAGTACTCTACAGGGAGGCTGAACATCATGAGACTGATAGCAGTAGGTAATGCAGCCAGATATCCATCTAGAGAATCTCTGCTTGGAAATTGGAGATCCCTTAGTTCTGTCCACAATGGAGAGAAATAATCTGGGAGATTTCCTAAAGGGCTTAGTCCTGTCTCAGTAAAAGGCTAATGCTCTCCAGACCTCGTGTGTATGTAGTGTCACATATCCTTTATCCTGGTGTGGTTTAGGGAAGAAAACTGAAAGATGTATAGGTTGATTTATGTGGAAGTACGAAGATACGTTTGGCAGGAACTTGGAATGCAGTCGCAGTGTGGCCTTAGTCTTAAAGAAGACTGAAGTATGCCATCAGCGCACCCCTATCTCACTCACTGTTCGAGCAATGGCTACTAGAAATGCAGTGTTCATAGACAAGTACTGAAAGGAGCAGATGTCCATAGGTTCAAAGGGAGGCCTCGTATGACATCTGAGTACAAAGCTGAGGTTCCATGCCAGCATAGGGCATCTGATTTGTGGGAAGAGGTAGTCCAGTCCTTTGAGAAACCTCCTTGTTGTAGGATGAGCAAAGATGGAAAAACCCTGTACCATATGATGGAAAGCCGTAATAACTGCTAAATGCACTTTTATGGAGCTTAAAGATAACCCTGTCACTTTTAGCTCTAAAATGTAATCTAGTACAAATGATAATGGAGAGGATTTAGGTGAAAGATGTTTTAGGTCACACCAGTCTTTGAATCTCATCCACTTTTTGGCATGTTTGCCACAAGTACATTGTTTGCTGCTATGTAACACCACACTCTTTTTCGTCCTCAGAATAGGTTGTTTCTAACCCTGCAAGCCATCTATCAGCCATGCCTTGAGCCAAAGAACCCTGAGTTTGGGGTGATCGATTTGACTGGCATCCTGAGAGAACAGATGGTCTGGACAGCGATCAGTTGACAAAGAGCCAACTGAGTGAGGTAAGGAAACCATGTTTGTCTCGGCCACCTCAGAACTACAAGAATAACTTTGCTTTGGTTTTCCTTATCCTGCATAGCACCTTGGATATCAAAGGAGTTGGGATAAATGCATACAGAAGGTCTGGACTCCACCAAAGGAGAGCAGCATCTCAGGGTTTGCTGTTTTTTTTTTAAAAACTACTGGAGACGTGGAGAATAGTTTTCTTTAACTGTGTTTGCTTGGCAAATAAACAGTTCTGAGCCACCCCAGGAGGCAGCACATGTGTAGTCTCACAATTGTTGAGGTATGGGAAAAATCAAAGTTCCTTGTCTGTGAAGATGACCTGCTACGACCCAAAAAGAACTTTTGAGAACACTCGGGGTGCAAAGAAAAGACTAAACAGAAGCACTGGTGTATTGAAAGTCTCTTGACACAGAGTGAAGCATAAGAACCTTCTGTGGGAGGAGTGGATTGCTATAGGGAAGTAAATGTCTTGAAAGTCGAGGACCTAGAACCAATCCCCTTGGTCCAATGATGGAATTATTGCTGCAAGAGTTACCATTTTGAACCTCTGAATCTTTATGAATCTGTTGAGTAAACTTAGATCTAGAATAGGTCTCCAACGGCTGTTCTTTTTTTGGAATCAGGAGATGCCTGGAATAAAATCCCATCCCTGTGTTGCATGGGAACTGGTGCTATAGCACCCAGATTCAGAAGACAGTCGATTTCCTGTCGCAAAACGTGCTCATGAGAGGGATTCATGAAGGTGGGATGGGGGTTGGGGGAAGGGAGGTAAAGTGGATGGAGACATGATCTCCAACACCCACTTATCCATAGTGGTATGTTCCCAATTCTGATGGAAATGAGAAAGGCAATCGCTGAAGTGAGGGAGACATGCAGATTGTTGCAGCAGTAAGAGTGGAGATGGTAACTCAGCACCTTGACCCGCACATCAAAACTGATTTTTGAAGTTGTGGGTTGTGAGGTCAATGCCCGAGAAGTAGCTAGTCTCTTCTACTGAAACTGCGGTCTCTTATGCTGGGGTTTGTAATATCTCTAGGAGGTGGGAAACTAGGTGGGACGAGATCTCTGTGCTGTCTGGGACATACTGAACTTTCTTTTTTGTGCAGAGGCATAAATTCCCTGACAGTGCAAAGTGGCTCTAGCATCTTTTAAGGCATGCAGAGATTTAGCATTTTTTTCCACAAACAACTTTGATCCATCAAAAGGAAGGTCCTCAATTGTATTTTCAACTTCCCTCTGAAAACCAGCATCCAGAGAGACCTGGGAGAACTGGGCATAACCTCCCTGGGTTTAAGTTTTTTGAGGGGGAGAAACAAAGAAAAATAGATAAAGGTAGATAACAGTCCTTATCCTAAAAGTATAAAGTCAAGGTTTTGGGTTTTATTTTTTAAAAAAAAGATTATTTGTTTGAAATCTATAAAATTACTACAGTTAACTCACACAAAGGAAACTCTAAGAACTAAAACTAACTAATAAGAACAAGAGAAAAATACAGGTGAGGTAACCTCTATTTGGATGCTGCTGAGGCGGTTGAGAACGAACTAAGGCTATATAGCCTCAGTGCACCGCATGAGGCTGCAGGGGGTGCATGTCCAGGCTGAAAAGACATGGCTACCTAAAATCTCTGATCTGAGGCACGTGGGGCGCAAGTGCACCTAGAATGAGCACCCATAGGGGACACTACTCAAAGAAAAACTTGGCTCTCAGGCCTGAATTTACTAGCTGAAAATATAATTACCTCAAAACAGGAAGAGTGTTGCTCAAGTATGTCTGCTTTCTTGATTCAATGAGAAATGTAAAACAATAGTAAGGAAGGTAGAAATGTATTAGAAGTACAAAAGAATACAATATAGCGCGAGATAGTTGAAATAAGAAACTAAGCATAATTCTTGTGATAGAAAATGGAAGACAAAATACAAATTGTGTTAAAAGGGCATTAGTCATGGAAATAGACTAAAAAAGTTAATCTTCATTCTGACAGGTTTCAGAGTAGCAGCCGTGTTAGTCTGTATCCACAAAAAGAACAAGAGTACTTGTGGCACCTTAGAGACTAACAAATTTATTAGAGCATAAGCTTTCGTGGACTGCAGCCCACTTCTTCGGATGCAGTGGAACATATATTGAGGAGATATATATACACACATACAGAGAGCATGAACAGGTGGGAGTTGTCTTACCAACTCTGAGAGGCCAATTAAGTAAGAGAAAAAAACTTTTGAAGTGATAATCAAGCGTAGCCAGTACAGACAGTTTGATAAGAAGTGTGAGAATACTTACAAGGGAGATAGATTCAATGTTTGTAATGGCTCAGCCATTCCCAGTCCTTATTCAATCCTGAGTTGATTGTATCTAGTTTGCATGTCAATTCCAGCTCAGCGGTCTCTCGTTGGAGTCTGTTTTTGAAGTTTTTCTGTTGTAAGATAGCCACCCGCAGGTCTGTTATTGAATGGCCAGACAGGTTAAAGTGTTCTCCCACTGGTTTTTGAGTATTAGGATTCCTGATGTCAGATTTGTGTCCATTAATTCTTCTGCGTAGAGACTGTTCGGTTTGGTCGATGTACATGGCAGAGGGGCATTGCTGGTACATGATGGCATATCACATTGGTAGATGTGCAGGTGAACGAGCCCCTGATGAGCCATTACAAACATTGAATCTATCTCTCCTTGTAAGTATTCTCACACTTCTTATCAAACTGTCTGTACTGGGCTATCTTGATTATCACTTCAAAAGTTTTTTTCTCTTACTTAATTGGCCTCTCAGAGTTGGTAAGACAACTCCCACCTGTTCATGCTCTCTGTATGTGTATATATATATATATCTCCTCAATATATGTTCCACTCTATATGCATCCGAAGAAGTGGGCTGCAGTCCACGAAAGCTTATGCTCTAATACATTTGTTATTCTCTAAGGTGCCACAAGTACTCTTAATCTTCATTCTGAGGCCCCAACAAACTACTTTAACATTAAAAAAATTATTAATGACAAAAGTTCAGTTCTCCGGAGCTAATGTAAATTAGCAATCTTGCATCAATGCAAGAAAAAAAATCAGCAACAGGTTTAAAATTTACCTTTCTGTGGTATTATAAGCAAAACTTAGTAAAAATAATTTAATCACTACATAATTTTGACTGTGAGCATTGTAAGAAATTCTTGACCCACATCTTTGGTATTGCACACACCTGAAAGACTAAAAAAGTTACAATACAGTACCTCCAGCTTTCAAAAAAAGAAACAACAAACCTTACTCAGCTGTTTATTAAGGCAGAGAAAATCCTTTGTAGAGGTAGAGTAATTCAAACTACATTAAGGCTTAGATTGTCCCTACCAAGCTCCATTTAGCAAAAATGTTCAACAAGATCCTAAATCAATGTGAAGGCTGCCCAAAAGTGCAGGAAAAAAATAACTTTAATTTATTCTCAGATTAATATGAAAGAAAGGGGAAACAAATGTAAAAAGGAACTAAGGCCAAACAGAAGTGGTCCAGGCAAAAAGGAGTCACTGTGCTAGTGACTCCTACAAAAGGATGCTTTAGTAGCTCACACATTTCAATCTTCTTATAAACAATTGATTGCCATTTCAGTTTTATAACATTTGCTCTATCACCAACATTTAAGCCTGGATTCAGCAAAACAGACATGATATTAGAGTCAAGCAGAAGTTTAAGAGCTTTGCTGAGTAAGAACATTAGTTTGCTTATTTTAAAGATAAAATAAAATATAAATCCTCCTTGTTCTATATTTTCTATATTTATCTATGCTATTTATTCTAACTTTAGCATTTGAACGTATCCATATTAACTACAAGTTAAATCTCTCTACAGAAGCCACCCAAAATTTGAAAACTGGGGGTACAAACATGCTCAATACTAACCTGTAGCATAGTTACAGATTGAGTATAAGCTTCCGTCTGTGTTGTAACAGCTGTATTCTTATCGACAGTTGTACTCTGAGTAGTTTGGATATTTTCTTTAACAGCCTCTGAGCTCCTCACAGTTTCCCATTCTAAATAAAAAAAATGTTTTTATTTATTTTGTAGAAAATGAGTTAAATGTTCTATTTCCATTTCCACATTTAAAAAAACCACCATCAACTTGAAAAATCACATTTTGGTCAGAGCGTACTGTAACTGAAAGAAGCTGGGGGGTGAAAAACAAAATAAATAAAATTATATAGATATAGACACACAGAGTTCCTCTCTTAGAAGAAAGACCATCAAACATCAGCAGGAGAACACAAAAATCCCTTAACTTTTTTTTTTTTAAGTGAATGGAGAAGGAAAAACTAAAATTCTAGGTATACAATTTAAATGTTACTATATCAGAAGCTGATTTTTTTTAAATGTCGATGAATGTCACTTTATAAATGATTCATGACATGTAAAGAATATAGCAACCCCTTATGTATTGTCATTTATATTTACAACACGTCTATATTACTGAGTGACTAGTCTGACACATGATCACATAGGGTACTTAACAACAAAAAAACCCACCTCCACCAGCCCAAGGGAAAACGAAGTTGGCATTCTAAACGCAATATTGATTCAAATTTAAATTTTGCTACCAGAATTAAAAAGATTGGCATTTAGATACTCAAACATCCCTTGTCAATATCTAAGGCTATGTCTACACAGCCCCACAATTTGGATTATGGGTGTGAACTGCAACTCTCCTGTGTGGATGGTGCTGGTATGAACTAAAAGGTACCTAGTTCACATTACATGAACTAGATGCCTTTTAGTTGGCTCCTGCAGCGTGCACACAGGGGAGAAGTGTGCAATTCACACTCCCACAATCTGAACTGTGGGACCGTGTAGACAAGCCCTGTGATACAAAACAGATTATAAACCAATCTATGGAGGTTGGAAAGAGGAAGCTCAGTAACACTGACAGTCTCAACAGAAAGTTTTAAACAATAAAGGAATATCCAGATCAGTCTCTTCCATCATTTTACTTTTACATACAACAATCTAAAGACTTGATTTTTCAAAAGGAGTCACAACCAGATCACAGATTTTGCATGAACTAATATTTACACATGTACTTAATGACTGAACATAGAAAATCAGAAGCCACTTTTAAAAATATTAATATTGATTGTCTCGCTTCACTCCATTGGTCTGAATGTTGACATAGTATTATCATGTTGACTTGCAGTGTTATCATCAGATGTTGACTCAAACACACGATAGAGGCAATCCAAATTTCTGGATTTCAGACCTCATTGTCATCTGAACTTTACACGGGAAACTAATACTAACAAATGCAAAAAAGAACACATACACCAAAAATACTCAACTTCTGAAAATTAATTTAAGAAATAAAGAAAAGAAACATAATTTTTACTTAATAAAAGCTACACATAAGTATCAATACCTGTATTTACAGTCTCCTGGTCGATCATGCCTCCTTCAGCAAAGCCATCCAAATCATCCAATTTTACTTTTTCCCAAGGTATATATGAAACTCCAAGATCCACATCCCAAAATTGCTTGTACTCTGTTTTCACACCTTTATTTAAAGCCCAAGCAATCTGAAAATAAAACCCAATCAGATGATGTAGCTGAATTAAAACACTTTAGTTATCCACTTCATCTCCCTGTCAGTGCAGGATTGATCTTCACTGTACATTTACTGTATGTACCAAGCAATAGGGCATGTACTCAGCATCTAATAGCAGCAGTCACTTGGAAGAGCTTTTGGCTCTTTGGTTACAATGAACTATAAGAAGTGTTTCAGAGTAGCAGCCGTGTTAGTCTGTATCCGCAAAAAGAACAGGAGTCCTTGTGGCACCTTAGAGACTAACAAATTTATTTGAGCATAAGCTTTTGTGGGCTGAAATGGGCTGTAGCCCACAAAAGCTTATGCTCAAATAAATTTGTTAGTCTCTAAGGTGCCACAAGGACTCCTGTTCTTTTTATAAGAAGTGTGTTAAATATTATTTCTAATTTACAGATGGGGAAATGGCACCACAGAGCTGAAAAGACTTACCCAAGGATCTCGGAGTAAACTAGTGACAGACACCTCAAACAACTCAAACACTTAAGCACATGCTTAACTTTCAACACACAGTCCTCAGTGAAGTCAATGGGACTACACACGAGCTTGAAGTTAAGTTTGTGTTTAAGTACTCTGCATAGTAAGGAACAGAACCCAGGTCTCCTGACAACCAGTCCTTGTGTGTTCAAACTTTCCAAGTATTCCCTAAACAGCAGGTGTATCATTTTATTTTTAAGGTCCTTCCTCACTTCCTGCCCAAATACACATTTTATAAGAAAATTTCCCACTCTACCTCTTACAAACAGAAGTTATTTTGCCTCCTTCTCATGCTCTATATTGCACACCTTGATCAGACGCATAGTATAGAAAATTCATTATTTTTCAAAGGACACAATTAAACCATCATAATAAAAATTCTGCTGTATTTTAAGTTGGGCTATGTTACTGAACAAAATATGGCTTACCTTAATAATTTTAGATCCAATTTTGTAGGATCCAGAACTAAGTTTCTGAAGAGCACGATATGCATCTTGTCTGTGAACCATGCAGACATATGCACAACCTCTTGGAGGAATCATCTATGAAAAAGAGATATATCTCACTATTATGGCAACTAACACTTGCTTAGACAATGTCTTAATGAGTCCGTGAATTCTAACTTTTTGTAAAACACTAAAGTTAACATTTGTGAAAACTAATGTAATGGGTGATAGCTCTGTACTTTAAGAAGTCCAGGAGCAGTAGAACTGTCATGAACAAGTATTTGTAGCACAGTTGCAAGTTACTTCTCATAAAAAAAGTGGAATTCACAGCATTTCTGAGGAATGCAAATAGATGTTAGACATTGTATTTACAATTTAAAGTGACACATATGAAAAATAGGCAACACCTTTCATTAATCTTGATAACAGCCCTCTTCACATTTATTCAACTGCAGAATGATGGATAAATATAAAAACTACTTTAATGCAATGTTAAGGTGGCAAAAGAGTAAAAAAAGGCAAATATTAATGGGGCCAACTCCTTTGTCCTGGCTGCAATTCCCTTGGCACAGCTCTGGTGGTGAGGAATAAAGGAGTGAATTGCTCCTAACCTGGTGATGGCTGGGAGCCAGTTCTGCCAAATGCAAGTGAGAGAAGACCCCATAATGCAGCATTTCTCAAAGGGGATTGAAAGAGCAGAAGCCGCTGGCCAGGCGTCCAGGCCTGAAGGAAGCGCTGCCACCAACAGCAGCACAGAAGTATGGGTGGCATGGTATGGGGGAGGGGGTGCGGGGTTGCTGGTGTTGTCACAGTGTGAAATATTTTCAAAGGGGGTCCCAGCAAAAAGAGTTTGAGAACCCCTGAGATAATGGTTCCAAAGGACCATTGTGTCAACTGAGGATCACAGTAGCAAAACACACCCACTCATCTGGGCTCTGAAGCTTTTGGGTCAGCCAGCTAGGGATTCCTCTATGCCAAGGAATCTTCACATGGCTTGTTAAACCAGCTATACAGTCCATTGCAATCCAAAAGTATGACAAAGGGGTCTTAGCAGCAGCCAGGATCTAGCCCAAAGTTCCTCGAGTATTAACTTGACTAAATTCAATGGTATATTTTCTATTCTTAGTCCCTCATGTTAAATGTACACTACAAAATACAGAGGGGATTAGGCACATAAACATGTTAAGATTGTAGTAACTGTAATTTTCCATTACTTGACTTCCGTTTTAACTGTAAAGCCTTAATAGTGCATTTTGTTTTTAGTTTCCTTAATAAACAAACACACAAACAATACCCCCAAAACCTGTGCTTAATGTTAGTATTTATATGGTCTCAATTAGGTTTTGTAGTTCACATCAAAATTAAATGACTAGGATTTGCGTGTGCGCGCGCTCGTGCAAACACACTGGTAAAATAACTATTAACCACCTTGGAAAATGTCCCAGCAGCAGTTGCCTGAAAAACAGCATTCCTGCATTTCTCAAGATGGGAGACAAAGTCTGAACAGTTCTCTCACTCACTCTTGTATGCTCACTGAGCATGTTCAAAAGTGATTTTTCGATAGTTTATTAATTATTTACCCTAATCCAAAGAAAAGCCCTACTCATTAACCATTATTTACAATACAAACATGGACATCTGTAAATTTCATTTTGTGCTATAATCAATGTTTCAAAAGTGTGGTTAATTTATTTTTTAAAATGGCAACAGTACTGTTATATACTCAAATTCAAACAACTGAATTAAATTTCCTTAAGATTTCCTTACAATTATTTTTCCCCATAGAGGCTAAGCACAGAAGTTTATAGTAAAAAACAAAAACATTTTAGACTTCTGAGCATCCAAAATCAGGGAGTTGCAAAATAATCTGTTTTGCCATATTAATCATAGCTTTCACTATGCTGATGGAGGCACGGCATGTCAGCGATAATATATTATATAGTTGTGGCCAAAAGTTTGGTCATACGTTATAAATATAAAAAGTATTGGATGTTGTTTAATAACTAAATAGTACTACACAGAGCAACACAATATTTTTTAAATGGCTAACTTGAATTCTGCTGTTTTAAAAGATTAATTTTTATAAGATGTAAGAGTGTCGGTGCTCCAATTTGGAAGAAAGGGGTGGGGAAATGGCTGAAATTGCTTTGCATGAACTACTTAAAGTGTAGTTCTATTCTGAAAGATGACTTTATAAAAATGGCATGGTGGGATTCCGTGGTTATTGCTGTCATTATTTCCATCTCAAATTCACTCAGCTTAGAAGATATTTTTCTTAATTGCTTACTAAACCTGGGACCTGAAATACAAACAGTGCTCCTTCTGGCTTAGATTTATTTAAGATTCTGCAGGGCAAATGCTATTTATTTAAGATTCTGCAGGGCAAATGCTACCCTCAGCTACTCCTGTGTCACACTGCTGCATTCAGGTGTAAATAAGGAAATTACCTGTAAAGAATGGGATAGTAGTACACGTGGCCCTGAAACTGGAGCTTTTTTAACAATTCTTTTCTTGAAGCCAGAAAGAAGACAGTTTGCTCTCCTGGAATGATGTTGGTTCTGCAAGACTGACAGAACTAAAAACCAAACTTACTGTCAGCACTAAAGTAATCTGATCTGACTGAATACTCACAGGAAGTAGATGTGTTAAACAAAATGTTGATTTTACAGTGACTTTTCAGAGTACAAAAAAATGGTTACATACCCTACATTAACTATGGAATCTGTGTGAACAACACATCTTGAAGAACCACAGTTACTGTGGGGTAAGTAAGCATCCTTTCTTCTTCAAGTGCTTATCCATAGATTCCACTCTTGGTGACAAGCAGTTGCCCATTCACCTGGAGTTGGACGCAGGCACAGCACCAATGCACACTTCTATTCAAATAATTCAATCTCATGGGCCTGGGGAGTATGCATATCAAGAGTGGAATCTCTGTAAACGACTCAAAAAAGAACTACATTTTAAAGTGAGTGACAAAATGGAACATTTTATTTTTTATGAGATAAATTATTTTGTTACGATAAGAAATAGCATGTGTCTGACAGGCAACGGAAATTTTTATGGTTTGAAGCAGTTACTGGAGTAGCAGTCCAGGTGTGTTCATCATTAATTTTTCCTAATATTGAACTATAATGTGTATTGTAACTAATATTTGTGATTTAATTTTTTTTTTTTTTTTTTTTTTTTTACACAAATTCTTCTCTTATAGCATATTTCAGTGTAACAGTCAAAACAACAGTTCCCATGAATAATCTGAGGGAAGCAGCACACTCATTTGACTACGTAGGGTGCCTTTTCCTTAGTGGTTCAAATGCCAACTTTAATACAATAGAAATAAACAGGTAAGGATTATGGCCAAGGTTTGTAAAAATCGATCCCTAAAGTTAAGTTCCTAACTCTATATTTAGATGGTTAAATAGGATTTAGGAATTTAACCAGAGGCACTCGTTTTTGAAAAATCTGGCATATAATAATAAACTACAAGAAAACTACTTTTTCTAACCGACAATTCAGTTCACACATCTTATATTTTCTTAAATACAACATGCATCACATCTGTCATGTTTTCCTACATATTATTGTGGATTTGGCAAATGTACCATACAGCATAACCTCTCCTAAATTAGTAATATGCAAACAGTTTTAAAATTTAGGACACTGTGCTCACTTACGTTAATAGATTCTATTTGTCCAAATTCTTCGAACAAATTAGTTAAATCTTGCTGTGTGGCCTTCTTGTCTACTTGACCAACCCAAAGAGTAGTACTGCAGACTGTCAAGAGAGACATTACATAAATTAAAAATGACAATACTTTGCAGGACATTGGATTCTGCATCCAATAATTCAAAAGTGCTTTACAATTAAGTCTAAACCACCAATCTGAGGCAGTAATTATGAATATTTTACCCAGGTAACAGAGGTTAAGTAAACTTATCCACAGAGATTAAGTGATTTGCCCAAATTCACAAAATGAATTAGTGATGAAGCTGAGAACAGAATCAAGAAGTCTTGACTCCTTGCCCATTGCTCTAACAAATAAAAAACACAACATTCCATTCAGATAAACTAGCCTTGGTAAAAGGTTCTTGATCTTTCTAACTCAAAACAAGTACTTCATAAGAAGCAGGGAAATGAAAGCATACTGTAGATCATCAGCTAATGTAGCCATTAAAGAAACAAGTATTTTTAACAAGCAACATTTCTACTGAGCATGCAATCTCACATGTAAATCTGAAGACTTACAGAACAATTTATAGAACAGATGAATACACGAAAAAATGAAAGTTAAGGAGCACTATTGGAACTGGTATTTAAAGAAGTGATCATTGGGTAAGTTTCCTTCCTCTTCTGAACGTAAAACTGCAAAGAAAGATTTTTCATATAAAAAGTCATTTACCTGAAAGCTAACTCATGTCTGATATCCATTTTGAAATTAACCTTCTTGTGAATGTTATAGTTGGATAATGCTTTGATAAATACCTTCATCGCTTTAAAAAATATATATTTTCTGCTAAGTAGGCAAGGCTGCTTGCCCTCACTGAGCATTAATGGCATATCAAGTTACAGGTATTAAACTGAAGACTATCAAAAATTATTTGCCAACAAACAATTAAACTTCAAACTTCTAAGACCGAGGTGGGCAAACTACGGCCCGCGGGCCACATCCGGCCTGCAGGACCGTCCTGCCCGGTCCCTGAGCTCCCAGCTGGGGAGGCTAGCCCCCGGTCTCTCCCCTATTGTTTCCCCCTCCCCGCAGCCTCAGCTCACTGCGCTGCGGGTGCAATGCTCTGGGCGGCAGCGCAGCTGCAGAGCCGCGGCCCGACCCGGTGCTTTGTGCTGCACGGTGGCATGGCTGGCTCCAGCGGGTGGCACGGCTGCCTGTCCTGGTGCTCTGGGCGGCACGGCTGTAGTGCCGCCAGCCACCGGTGCTCCAGGCAGCGTGGTAAGGGGGCAGGGGGGTTGGATAGGGGGGCAGGGGGAGTTTGGGGGTGGTGGTCAGGGGCGGGGCAGTCAGAGGGTGGGGAACGGGGAGTTGAATGGGGGCAGGGGTCCCGGGGGAGCAGTCAGGGAAGGGGGGGGGGTTAGATGGGGCGGCGGGATTTTTTTTTTTTAAAACAAGAACTTCTCATTCTTAAACAGAGTGAGATTAGGGATTGAAATTTTACTTTACTTTGATCCCTGATGAATTACAATAGTGTTAATTTAAAAACATTTAGTGCTTACTGTGCTGTGGTACTTCAACCCGGCAATAGAATTTAGCAGTATTTTCTATTCTTTGTTTAGAAGTATTGTTTAATATTTTAGCACAATGAAGTCCTAAAATGGGTGCATTCTCTCTACCCCCTCCTATACCCAAAAAAAACCCCTGTGTCTCCTGAGGGTATGTCTACACTAGAAACACTACATTGGCACAGTTGCAGCTGCTGTGCTGCTATAGCGTATATAATTACTACAGCGATAAAAGGGTTTTTTCCCTTTAGAGGGGGAGGGAGAGCGGGGTGGGTGTCAACCAAAGATACGCAACTTCAGCTACGTGAATAGCGTAGCTGAAGTTGCGTATTTTAGGTCGACTTACCTGGCTGTGAGGGCGGTGGCGAGTTGACCACTGCCGCTCCGCTGTCGCCTCCGCTCTGCCTCTCGCTGCGGTGGAGTTCCAGAGTTGACGGCAGAGCGATCGGGGATCGATTTTATCGCGTCTACACTAGACGTGATAAAATCGATCCCCGATAGATCGATCACTACCCGCCGATCCAGGCAGTGAAGACGTCCCCCGAGAGGCTCTAGCTAGGTTGATTTCTTTCATCAACCTAGTGCTATCTAGACTGGGGCTTAGATTGACTTAATTATGTCTCTCAGGAATGTGAATTTTTCACACCCCTGAGCAACGTAGCCAGGTCAACGGAAGTTATTGATGTAGACAATCCCTCAGTTCTTAATCACATGAGCATCTTTCCTCCTGATGTTTACCAAAAGATATTTCTACATATACCAGAGAAGAAGAGACTTGGCCTGTGCCTTCTCAGCCAAGTTTTCCATAGCTCCTGGTGTCCTTTGGTTCCTGTCCATCTTATCTCCCCAGTAAGCAAAGAAGAGATCCCCGGCCCCCATCCACACTTACTCCTACCACTGGCAGAGCTCCAATCCTCCCACCATTCCTGTAATAGCTCAGGTTCCTTGCACTTTTTCTCCACCTGAGAAAGTTCCGGGCCTCCCACGTCTTTCCAATAACCTGCCCAGTTCTAGTTCTTTTGTCCGCAACTCACCTCCCCAGGCCGCAATTGCTGCACTGAACTCCAGGCTACTCAGCTCACCAGCCTACACTTCTGGCTCCTGCTAAAGCTTTGCTCGCTGAAAGCTGAACACCAGCTCTAGCTCCCTGCTGCCTAGCTCAACAGTGCAGGAAATGTACACTATAAATCTAATTAATGCCTCTTTGTGGAGAAAGCCATAGAACAAGAGACACCCACTCGTAGGTCAGGAAGACAAAAACAAACTGTAAGGCGTCTGCATGCAGCAAAATGCTGAATTCCAAAGCATCCTGGGAAAACATAAGTCCAGGGGGCCCTGACTGAAATGGATAAAAGCAGTTTACACCGTTTAGGGGTATGTTTCAAACTGTCTGAAGGCTGAGATTGGTGATGCTGCATTGGTTTACACTAAATCAATGTTTTCAAGATCATCTCTGCAAACATTAGGATCTAGAGACCATTTATGAAAAAGAAAGCTGAGACTGGAGCATACACCTCCTATTACTAGAAATCTGTTGTAAATTATGCAGCAGCAGAATATGCACAACCCTAATAACAATGGTTGTAAAGTGATCCAGCCTATCAGTGGACAAAGACACTTGAATTCATGGCTTCTGGCACCCAGCTCAGTATACATTCTTCTAGGCTAAAGGATATTTTGTGAGGGAGGTTCTTTCTCCCCTCCTTCCTTTCTTCCTCCATCTTCAGGATGCTAGTGTTCCCTGAAGGATCACAGCTGTCTCGAATAGCACTCCAAAGAACCAGAACTAAAGATGAACAATTTTGAACTAACTAGGATTTGGATACTGCTCTTGGTGCTGTACACACAAATTTAACAGGGACACCCCAATGTCGGGCTGGATCCTTGTGGATCCAGCCCAACACACCCCAATTTAATCCCTATATACAACAAAAAAGTAGGTTAAGAATGCTGAGATTTTAGAAATAGATACTTTGAGAATAGGGTAGAAGGGGGAACAGTTGTCAGGAACCCATTGATCAAATGACCTCAAATCTGCATCACAAATTCTACCCTGTCCCCTGAACTGATATATCAATTTTCAAGTCAATCTGACTACGTATATTTTGGAAGGAATGCAAAATTCAACATTAAACAGAAAATACACTGTAGTTTTGTCTATGGGGCAGGTACCACTGCTCATAATTTTTACAAGAGTAAAATCTTTGAAGGAACAAAATTCCACTTTCTTCTTTCTTCATGATGAAATCATTGATTTATATTTATAGATATACAACAATCTAACTAAGTATTCAAGAGAGAGGGGGAAAGTAGCCCTTTACATTTCTCTGGTAAGGAAACAACATTTATATTAAGTACCATTATGACTAATTTTAGTCTAGTAAATACAGTGTTACCTACCACTTAGTGTTTTAGACCGGATAGGAGGCAATCCCTTTTTTTGGCGTTCTTTTTCCCTTTCCCTAGCTCTTCTTTCACTGGAGTATGACCGAGATGACTTTCGCTTCCTTTCTCTTGATCTTGAGCGTGAACGTTTTCTGTGTTTACGTTTACGGGAACCAGACCGTGACCTAGACCTCCGTTTTCTTGGTGACCTACAAAACATTTATTTTTAATACCTTGAACAGGTGTCAGTGGAGAGATGTACTCCGCTTTTATTTTTGTTTTACTAAAAATTAGGGCTGTCGATTAATCGCAGTTAATTCATGTGATTAACTCAAAAAAATAATCGCGATTTAAAAAATTACTCGTGATTAATCACAGTTTTAATCGCACTGTTAAACAATAGAATACCAATTGAAATTTATTAAATATTTTGGATGTTTTTCTACATTTTCAAATATATTGATTTCAATTGCAAAACAGAATACAAAGTTTATAGCACTCACTTTATATTACCGTATATACTCGATCATAAGCTGGTTCGTTTATAAGACAACCCCCCCAAGATGGATAAGTAAAAATGGCAAAATTTTATGACCCATTCATAAGCCGACCTATAATTCAGGGGTCGGCAAACTCTGGCTCCCGGCCCATCAGGATAAGCTGCTGGTGGGCCGAGATAGTTTGTTTACCTCGAGCGTCCACAGGCACGGAGGTAAACCTAAGTAAACAAAATGTCCTGGCCCGCCAGCGGCTTACCCTGATGGGCCGGGACAGCAACTGGTGGGGAAATTTTTGGGGAGGGGGAAGGGGAGAAGTAGCTGGGGGTCAGCTCCTCCCCACCACTAGCCCGGGACCCCCACGCTCTCACCATCCCATCCCTTCCCACCTTACCTGGGGCGGGCCAGGGGAGGATGTCTCTGGCCCGGCTGCAGCTGCTCCCGCAGGCCGAGTGGCATGGCTGCAGCCTGCCAGCCCCGGAGCGGCAGCTGCTTCAGAGGCTGGGGGGAGAGCAGCGTGGCCAGAAGGAGAGAGACTCCAGCCCCACCTCTTCCCTTCTGGCTCTGATGGCTGTGCCGCCTCTCCTTGCCCCCCTGACCCCCTTCTCTGATGCTTCCCTTTTTTACTAAAAAAAATTCAGTTATGAGCGAGTATATATGGTACTTTTGATTACAAATATCTGCACTGTAAAAATGATAAAAGAAAACAGTTTTTTTCAATTCACCTCATACAAGTACCGTACTGCAATCTCTTTATCGTGAAAGTGCAACATACAAATGCAGATTTTTTTTTTTTTGGTTACATAACTGCACTTAAAAACAAACAATGTAAAACTTTAGAGCCTACAACTCCACTCAGTCCTACTTCTTTTGCAGACAATCGCTAAGAGAAATAAGTTTGTTTACATTTATGGGAGATAATTCTGCCCGCTTCTCTTGTGCAATGTCACCTGAAAGTGAGAATAGACTTTCGCATGGCACTTTTGTAGCTGGCATTGCAAGGTATTTATGTGCCAGATATGCTAAACATTTGTATGCCCCTTCAGGCTTTGGCCACCATTCCAGAGGACATGCTTATGATGCTTGTTTAAAAAAAAATGTGTTAATTAAATTAGTGACTGAATTCCTTGGAGGAGAATTGTACATCTCCTGCTCCATGGTTTTACCCGCATTCTGCCATATATTTTGTGTTATGGTAGTCTCAGATGATGACACAGCATATATTGTTTGATTTAAGAACACTTTCACTGCAGATTTGACAAACAGAAAGAAGGTTCCAATATCATATTTCTAGAGATAGCTACAACATTCGACCCCACGATTTAAGAATCTGAAGTGCCTTCCAAAAATCTGAGAGGGACAAGGTGTGGAGCATGCTTTCAGACATCTTAAAAGAGCAGCACTCCATCCCGAACGACCAAAAAAGAAAATCAACCTTCTGCTGGTGACATGTGACTCAGATGATGAAAATGAATATGCGTTGGTCTGAACTGCTCTGGATCATTATCGAGGAGAACCCATCATCCGCATGGACGCATGTCCTCTGGAATGGTGGCTGAAGCATGAAGGGACATATGAATCTTTAGTGTATCTGGCACGCAAATATCTTGCAATGGCGGCTACAACAGCACCATGTGAACATCTGCTCTCATTTTCAGGTGACATTGTAAACAAGCAGGCAGCATTATCTCCTGCAAATGTAAACAAACTTGTTTGTCTGAGCGATTGGCTGAACAAGAAGTAGGACTGAGTGGACTTGTAGGCTCTAAAATTTTACATCGTTTTATTTTTGAATGCAGTTATTTTTTGTACATAACTCTACATTTGTAAGTTCAACTTTCATGATAAAAAAATTACACTACAGTACTTTTATTATCTCTCATTTTTGCAGTGCAAATATTTATAATAAAAATACATATAAAGTGCGCACTGTACACTTTGTATTCTGTGTTGTAATTTAAAATCAATACATTTGAAAATGTGGAAAACATCCAAAAATATTTATATAAATGGTATTCTCTTATTGTTTAACAGCGATTAATCACGATTAATTATTTTAATTGCTTGACAGCCCTACTAAAAATCACAACTCAATATGGTAATATGGGCTTTTCTTAGTGTCTGTTTAAATGTTTAGAAAAATTAGTCACATTTTATTTTACTATTGTATAGAGAAAATAAATGTACTACCATTAGTGTGGAGGAGAAAAAAGGGTATTAGTCTGACCTCAAGAAAAAAGAACTGCAAAGTTTACAGCAGAAAAATAAGCATTAGAGAGGAAAAGTCCATCCCAAAGTCAACAATTTTTTTAGCTACTTATTTGTATTACCTGGAAGATACTTGAAAATTTAAGGAATCCAAATTTAAATAAAATAAATTGCCACATCAAAAAAAGTCTTAAATTACTACACAACTTAATCCTATGTTTAAATGTAAACTATTTGTTCAATTCCAATGCAACACATAACCATGCTGGAAGCCAAAATAATTCAGAATGATGATATAGATTCAACAAATATAACACTGTCTCTGTATTTTAGAATAAAATAAAGTTGCTTATACTTGAGTAATAAGTTATTATGAAACCTTGAACGAGATCTTGAGTGTGTTCTTGATCTTGAACGAACAGCTGATTTCTTTTCTTCTTGTTCAAAGATCTCTTCCTCAACTACATCTTGCCCTTCATCTATATCCATGTCCTAAGTATGGAAGCAATGAGAAATATAAGCAAAAATATACAAAACATACATTGGCATACAAAGAGATACAACAATTTCTGAAGTTTAAATTACTGCGATTTGAAGGAAAAATTAATCAGAAATGGTAAATTTCACCTGTTGTTGAATATCCATTGAATCATCTAGGTTTGTTTCCACTTCTAAAAACTGCTGTTGGCTACTCCCTTGTGATGGTGATGCAGAGTGCTCTGATCCAAAATTTCCCTCTTGATTTTCCTCAGGGCTTGCCTGCACAGGACATGAACATTACATTTTAAAAAGTCAGAAGCCAAATTGTATGTTATGTCACTCTGCAATACAACACAGGACATACAAACATGACTGTTAGAATATTTTTGAAAAGAGTTTTGCAAGTGTCTGGGATTTTTTTTTACCACTTCGTTTCCTGTAAATGCAGATCAAGTTAATATACACTAATAACCTGTTAAGAGAACTTTTGAGTTGAACTTGATTTCCCTCCATTCCACTTTGTACTCCAATACACAAATAAACAGAGTTTTAACAGAGCCAATGCGTTTTCAGTTCCCACTCAAAATACCATTATCAAGTCAATGAGTCAGATAACGTTCATCGAGGATGACTATTTTTTCACAATTCTGGTTAATTAGAAGTAAAACTCCAACAAGAAAACAAATACATACCTTGAAGGACTATAGTAATTCTGTACAATACTAAGAAGGGTATATCAAAATAGTCATATCATTTTAAAATATATAAATATTGTTGGTACATAAGTCATCGATAACTTATTGTAATCAGTTCCATCGAGAACCACACATTTTCATGATTAATTATTTTGTTGTGATGTAAATGCAATACGAATTTAAATTTAACTTAAAAATCTTCATTTAATTCCAATTAACACTTTTGGACCAGTGTGAGATTTAAGATAAAACAAGACAAAACAAATCATGAAACTGTGTAGTATTTTATGTCGGGATGTTAGTTACAAGAAAGAAATCTATCAAGAAATGTTCTTGATTTGTGCATGACTAAATGTGATACAGATAGTAAATGAAGTGAACTTAACTATGCCTTTTTTTCTTTCAAGCCAGGGCAGCATGCCATCTTTCCAGCCCTCCATGAAAGAAGGGAAATCATTTAAAAAAAAAAAACCCTCTTAGTTAAGAAGTGGACAGGATAACTGAAAGTGAAGCGTGTCTCCAGTTCAGCTGATGGCTAGTCTCTCCTAATTTAATAAGTACAAAATGTATAGCTCACATTTGTTTTGTATTTTTTTTCTTTGTTTTATGCATTTTGCCTTCACTTGGTCCACATCTTCACTTTGCAAGCCTAGCCCAGGTAATTAGTCAGAGTTTTATTATTATGAGTAAGAGTATTAGGAAGAAGAGACAGTTTCCTATCCTGAAGCAGAGTATGTATTTTTACCAATGTGGAAGAACACTAGAATCAATTACTATGATAACCACAAGATGGAGTAGTTACCTTTTGAGGCTGCTGTTGCTCCAGGAGCTGCTGTCGGAGATGTTCTAAATTTTGTTGTTGTAGTTGTTCAGCTAGCTGATGAAAAAGTGAGTTGTTCACAGACTCTGATACTAGAGGCCTAAAATAAAATAATTGAAAAACCCTTAGCATGGAAGTTTTTCTCTTTAGACTAAATAACCTAATAAACAAAATTTCATATTTTAAAAAGTAGCAAGCGACACATACATTTTCAAACAAATGAACAACTTACTAACACACACTTCTTAGTTACAATTATTATCCCTCCAAGTGAAATATAAGATTGTTACTCTAAATTACTCCTGACAGAATTCTGCGCCCATGTTGGGGCGCAGAGTTCATATGGCCTGCATATTTCTGTGCCCCCCCCCCGCGCAGAAAAACACAAAAGAAATCTGCACGGGGACACGTCTCTTTCCTGGCAGCCCAGGCCGCGCATCTGTTCCAGCATGCCTGAGACGCAAATCACTGCGTGGGGAGGGGGGCTCCGTGTGCGTGCCTGCGGGAGAGACATTGCTCACCACAGGGGGCGGGGCTGGCCAACAAGCAAGAGAGACTCTGGCCTTGGCTACGCTGGCAATTCACATCGCTGCACTTGCTGCGCTCAGGGGTGTGAAAAAACACCCCCCCCGAGCGCAGCGAGTGCAGCGCTGTAAAGCGCCAGTGTAATCAGCGCCTGCAGCGCTGCACGCTCACTCGCAGCGCTGCAAGCTATTCCCCTCGGAGAGGTGGAGTACTTGCAGCGCTGCAAGAGAGCTGTGAATCTGCGAGTGTAGCCAAGGCCTCTGTCCCTCTTTCTTGATACTGCTGCTCCAGAGGCGAGTTAAAGAAAATAGCTTTTGTAAAAAAAAACACCACATTTTGTTCATGTTCCTTTTGATGGTTAATTGATCTCATTCTCTGAGGCAGAAATGTAGCAACCTGTCTGCATAGTAACATGGTTAATTATTCTATTGTTAGTTAATTGTTCCCATTCTCAGTCAATTCCCCCAGGAGCATAAAAACCTGTAAAAGTTGTAAAGCCCTTACATTGTCAGAGTGAAGTAAAGCCTAATGAAGGACAGTAAGGGAATCAGGTAGGAAGATCTATGCGCTTTCGCGCTTTCTCCCTGTGCCAAAGTGGCACAATGGGGTTAGATTTTTACTTATCCATTAAAAAAAAAAGACGACTTTTGAGGGCAAATAAAACATTTACCAAGCAGTCAATAAAATGTCAGGACAATCAGAATCAAGCACTTCCCAAAGTACCCAGCTAGGTCCAGATAATGATTAGCAAAACTGTATGACTTTCATGTGTGAAAGCCTGAGCAATTTAAAATGACATTCTACCTTTTTTTTTTTTCTCCCTGTTTGGTGTTCTGTAATGTAATTTAAATGAAAATCCAGGATTATAACTGAAATGTATTAGTTCCCAAGTATTTGCAACTTAACTTTCATGTGTTTAGAAGATGCTGAATAATTAGTGAATTTTTTCAGTATTGTTGTTTAAATAACTTACCAAAACAACAGAAACTGGTGTGATTATATTGCATTATTTTGACAAATAAAATTTGCAGAATTTTGTATCTAAGTAGAGCGCTATCTTCAGATCAAACTCTCACTCTCTCTGTTTTAAAATGGTAGGCATCCAGCTGAAGGGTTCTCATGCAATGGTAGAGATGTTGTATTAAACATTTAAAACATATACATGTCTATCATTCAAATTCATGTAAATCGTTCTCTGTTACCACTGCTCCAGTGTAGTAGTTTACATATACTGAAGGACCAGACAGCCGGTCTACTTTTCACAGTGAATGTTCAATTATTGTAATGTTTAATAGGAAAAATGATCAACTTAATCTAATTTAAAAGGAATGTAACCTGATCTTACAGTTGGGAATTGGGAGTTTCTTTTTTAGGCTCTTCACTGAGGTCAGGCTCTTCCCCAAAATCAAACCTGTCCATCAGCTTCTAGGAGAAAATGAATCAAGCATTAGAAAGAGCATATTTTAAAACATGTTCCCTACCAAACCATACAAAATACTTCGTAATCTAAAAACAGGAAGTTTCTATTTCTGTAATGACTTAATGTAGGAAAGCAGACCATTCTTTTAAATAGAAAACCCTTGGCTGCATCATTCTTAAATTCTGCCTGTTAATCCAAGAACATGCGTTGCCCAATAGTAAATAAATGACTACTCTCCTGAGGTAAAACATTATATATATAATCTGTGTGTGTGCGTGCTTGTTCCTTTAGCAGTCAGCCAATTACTATTGCCAATACCAACGTCAAACATGGCATTGAAGAAGAATTACCTATTAGATACTGCTTGTGGATGTCCAAGGAATTTCTTTCAATAATGATTTAATTTTAAGGGGGGGAAAAAAATCAAAGGTACGAACAAAATATATGGATTAAGAAACACAAGTTATTTGCCTTGGAAACTGTGGTAGTTCTTCAAGAGTGTTGTCTCTGCACTTGCAGTGCCTCACAAGTGCTCTCTCTCAGCACCAGGGCCGGCGCAACCTATTAGGCGACCGCAGCGCTACAATTTGGGGGGCGGCGACCGCGGCGGTATTTCGGCGGCGGGACCTTCCGCCGCCTTGGTGGGGGGGGCGGCATTTCGGGGTGAGACCTTCCGCCGCCGAGGGCGGCAGAAAAGCTGGCGGCGCTCCTGCTCAGCACTGAACATTCAGCAAAAGTTATATCACCAACCACCTCAATTCCTTCTGCTAAACACCAGTCTTATGAAAGCGGAATTTAGAGAGAGGGGAGAAGGTAAGGAGGTACACAGAGGATGTAATCTTAAATAACTAGTTAACATGAGTAAATAGCTTTTTTCCTTCTTCAGGGTGGCCTCTGCTTATTCTAAATTAGAGGAATTTAGCAAACGATACAAACCTCTATGCGGCTCGTATTAAGCGAGGATTCTATTGAACTACTTTCCCAAAGTGAGCATCAGATTTAGAAGTAAAAAGAGTAGTGCTGTGCAAATGTGTACACAGAACTCCAGGAAGCAACTCTGTAGATTTCAATGAAGAAAACATTATAGAATATAACATATTCTTCATTATATATGAAGAAAACATTATATAAGGCCTCAGATGACACTTTAGCCATGGTAGAGTGCAGTCTAAGACCCTGAGCAACTGACACCCTAGGTAAGGTATAACATATCTGTCTTGGTGCACAGCTTAATTCACTTAAGACAGGCACTAAATACAAATGGCATTCCCTTTACATTGGTCTCCAAAGGCTACAAGAAGTCTTGCTCAATTCCTAAATGCCTGAGGTCCTGATTCTCATAGACTTTAAGGTCAGAAGGGACATCGTGATCATCTAGTCTGACCTCCTGCACACTGCAGGCCACAGTACCTCGCCCACTCCTGAAAACTCTGGCTGAGTTACTGAAGTCCTAAAATCATGGTTTTGAAGTCTTCAAGTTACAGAGAATTCAACATTTACACTAGTTTAAACCTGCAAGTGACCTGGGCCCCATGCTGCAGAGGAAGGAAAAAAAACACCCAGGTCTCTGCCAATCTTGACCTGGGGGAAAATTCCTTCCCAACCCTAAATATGGTGATCAGTTAGACCCTGAACATGTGGGCAAGACCTCCTAGGCAGATACTCTCTATAGTAACTCAGAGTCGTCCCCATCTAGTGTTCTCATTTGCACTAAGTTTGCTTGGGTATAAGTGCAGTGTAAAATAGCCTTAATGTAAAGGGATCAAGCCCTCATTTCTACCAAATAAAATGTCAAAGCCTTCTTGACATCTAAGTTATGGAATCTAGTTTATCCTGGGCAAGGATGATGTTTGGTAAACTCCAGTAGCCCATCATTAACAAAATACGGAATGTAACTGTATTCTTGGATTCCTGGGTGTTGGAACTGCGAATGAGTCTTTTCTTGGACAGTTTTCATTTTCATTTGCGGAGTTGCCACCATATGTCCTAGCAACTTCTGGAACAATATGAAATCATCAGTTGGTGAAACAAGTGAGATGACCAAAACCTCAGGAGAAGTTGAGAAATATTCAATCCCTCTTGCTGGTCAAGAAAGGATTGCTGCTTCTAAACCGTCATACTCCTCTAAATTGGACTTGTAGTCAAGAATACCTGCCAACAGAGGGAATGAGATGCCATAGATACTGGTAATAGTCTGAGTGGCAGATCTCAGGTATCTATGGTTCCTAGAGTTAGAAGGGATGAGATCTTCTGTGTAAGCAATAGATCATGAGAGGCGTTTCTGAGTAGAGACAGGGAAAGGGGGTTGGATGGAGAAAAGCTGGATAGCATAATCCAAAAAAATGGCCTCCGATGCCCATCTGTCTAATGTTATAGCCGCCCATGCTTCATGAAATAGAGAAAGGCGGCACCAAAATTGAAGAAGGGAGGTTGTGTCATGCAGCTGAGAATCTGGTCATTGGGGGTCTGGACTCTCAACCAAAACATCAAAACTGGCATTTGAAGACACTGAAAGTTGAGATGACACAGCCACAGTAGTTGTAGGCTTTTTCTTTGAAAATCTTGATGTCTGGTGTTCTACGGAAGGTGGAAAATTTAGTAGGGTGGGATCTTTGTGCCGACTGAGAGTCGCTAAATTTTCACTTATTCGCTGGTGCGTATAACCCTAAAGACCTAAGTGTTGCCCCAGAGTCTTTTAGGGTGTGAAGTGTCTGTGGAATCTGCAAAAAAACTTCTAATCGTTGAAAAGTAAATCCTCCACAATTGATTGTCTCTCTTATGACCAGATGTTTCTTGTCTTTATTATAAGGGTTGGCCTTTTGGATATGTTGCCTGCCCCTTTTGCTGTGTCCATGACCAGACAGTTTGGTGCTGGGTGAAAGAATAAAAACTCTGAATCCCTGGCTGGGACTTAGTAATTTTTTTTTTAAAAAATCAGCTCTCTTACATGGGGGTGGGGGAGAAAGGGGAGTTTACCAGATAGACTTGGCTGGCTCAAGGAGGGCTTCATTAATTGGCAGTGTCACCCATTCTGAGGTAGAGATGGGCAATATGTCCAGGAGTTTGTGATGGGAACCCTGGACTACTTATAGGGGGCTCTGCAAGATGTCAGCAACCCAATTCATCAAGTCCTGAAATTGCCTGAAGTCATCAGCTAATGAGGGCAATGGTGGCATTACTGCCTTATCAGGTGTTTGTAAGCTGTTTGTAAGGGGGTAACCTCCTTGTCAGATCTTGCATCTTTCTCCTCAAAGGTCCCCCGGGGCTCACAGACTGGGGAGGAGGGATGGAAGGTACCAGATAATTAAGTCTTTTGGGTTCCCTGTGGGACTGAGTTGAGGTCCCTCAAAATTGTTGCTGATACATTGTCCATGGATCTCAATAAGGCCAATGGAGGAGACTACAATGCGTGGGGGTGGGAGTGGAGGTGGGGGCAGAAAATCCGGCACTGGTCCTCCTAAGGAAAGCAACGGTCTGGTGCCCTGCCTTTGTTGCATCTGCAACAGAGAACAATATCTCCTAGAATAAATTGCGAGATCCTTGAATCAAAAGTTCAGAGTCTGGAGTCAGAATGATCCTTATATATGGTAAAGGATGTGACAATCCCCCTTTTCCCCCAACCCAGTGGATAGCTGAAGAAGGAGAAGAGGCAGGTCTCCCAGAAACATGAGCAGTTGGTGGCCCAGCAGACCTCGGTACTGAGAGGCGTCCGGAGGTTGCAAGGAGCGGAGACTCAGGCTCATTCGGTACCGCAAGTTTCCTTGGGTACCGGAATTCCTGTGCTACTGGAAATACAAGAGAACTCACTACCAGTGCCGATGACATTGCAGAGGCCATGAGAGGCACTGACGCTGGTACCAAGGGTGTCAAGGGCTGCACTGAAGCTGATCTCTAGGAAATAGTCATCATCAGTACCGAGCTCTTTATTACGAAGGTACGGGGCTCAGATGAAGTCTTAGTGTGCTCCACAATACCCGAAGTACCCAGAGCCTCACTAGCACGTCTCTCAGGGACTGATGTCTCCGGTGACAGCATCTTTTTTAAAAAAAGAACACTCTGATGTTTTGCTCTTCTTATCCCCTTCCTTATACTTAAGAGTGGGAAGCTCTCAGTACTAGTGACACAGTTATCAGTATCTCAATCATAGAGAATGTTGGAGACCTGAGTTTCAGTGTCATCTTCCCCCTTGGAAGCTTTTGGTGACCATAGTCTCAATGACAACAGGGCATTGACAGACATGGAAGGTCCCTGTACAGGGGCTTTCCCTGAGCAGGGGTCTGAAGCCAGTCTTAAGACTTGCTCCATCATTAAAAGTCTATATTTCATTTCCCTGTTTTTATAGGCTCTTCCTTCAAAGGATGAGCAGATTTTATACTTGCTAGGAATGTGAGAGTCTCCCAAACAACGAATGGAGTGGGCATGTCTGTACTAACGGGGACTGCTCTTCAACACAAGAGGCACCTTTAAAAGCTCAGGGAGCTCTGCATCTCTGACAGAAGAAAAACATTATTCAAACCCTGAAAGAGGGGAAAAGAAAAGAAAAACAAATTTTCTCCTGGAAAAGGAAAAAAAGGCACAAACATTCCAAATATAAGGCACTAAATTCTACTCTACTAGCTAACTATACAGCTTAACATTAATAAAAGAGGTAAACAAGTACAGAGCAAACAGTCATATGCTAGACTCCATCTCAGACTGAAGGCGGCTGAGAAGAAACTGAGGGCGGTTCACCTATGCAGCCCTATATAACTTTGATACAGGGCACAAGGATGTAGGGCACATGTGCAGGATGAACTGGCACTACCACCAAAATTCTATGATTAAAAGCGCATGGGTACATGCACACCTAAAGTGGAGTACCCACAGGGATGCCACTCAGAGTAGTAGCAGAAGGTTTTCTGAAAGTCCAGATAAATATTTCACGTGGTTCTCCTTCATGACCATTTTGTTGACACTCAAAAAAGTTCTACAAGCACAATTTACTATACAGAAGCTGTATAGTTTGATCCTAGCTTACATTCCACTTCATTTTTTATTTTTCTTGTTAAACTAAAGATCATGGGTCTATAATTGCCATAATTACTATTAGGTAACTTTTTTTTAAAGATAGATATAACAATATGTTACCCTCCAATCCTCTGCAGAGACTAAGAGAGTGAATATTCTGTTAACAACTTTTGGATGAATACTATCTGGTGCTGGTGATTTGTCCGTGTTTAATTTATCGTTTTGTTCCAGTACCTACCTTTTTGACACCAAGATCTCTCACAGTGCCTCATCTTAGTTAAGGTTGAAAATCACTTACTATTAAAAGACCATTATTCTAGGTGCTTTAAAATGCATGTACTGAATTCAGTTTTGTCTTGAAATTTGATGCATCTCATGGAGATGCAGGGAGGGTGGTCTAAATTTGGGTCACTTGAGCAAGCGGTTCCAGAGATACAGCTCCCTCCCCATACACAAATAATCTGTTTACAAAAATCACCCATTCTTATGACTTTTTGGTGCACACCTGGAGAGCCAATCCTTCCCAAACTAATCTCAGCCATTTGGGATTTAATAATTAATTGTATTATTGTAGCACCTAAGAACCCCACTCATGGACTAGGTACTTTACCAACACCGAACAAAAAAGTAGTCCTTATCTCAAAGAATTTACAGTCAGACTGATTTCACTTTTAAAGTATTGTCAAGGAAATTAACATTAATTAGAGGGCAGATGAAAAGTAGTAAGCAGTTAGGGCACGACTCATACTCAACCATTTTGGTCATTTGTTCAAGGGCTTAAATGATACACAAATTTAAAGTTGCCCTGTGGTGTCTCATGTCTATCCCGAATGTATTTCAGCTAGACTCAAACCTCTGAAAACTAGGAAACGAAGAGTTACGGTAACACAACCACTTCAGAAAACAGGAATTAGAGTTATGGTATCACCATTTCTTCAATGCAAACTAAACTGTGAAGCCCCAACACCACACCTACTACCATTCTATTCTTACAGATGCTATAGACACTCTAGGAACAGAGCACTTGAGCAATGGCTGACAAAGCCTAACACCTCTTTGCTAAGGCAAAACTCTGGTTTAGGTCAGCCATATCAAAGTCTGGTTTAGTCATAGCTGTCTACACTCAAACACTTAGCCTCCTCCACACTAACTACCACAGACTTATAAGATATTACCACTGCTTCACACTTGTCTGGGGATTCTTTCTGCTAATTATTTGAAAAGAGATGGTCTGGGATAGGTAGCTCCCAACATCCTCTGTGGTGAAGACCGATGAAAAGATAATTTAGCTTCTCTACAACATCCTTATCCTCCCTAATAATCCAGTAGAGACTATCCTCTCACAGACTTCCTGCTTTTTATAGACTGAAATAACTTGTTTTTATGTCTTTGGTTATTTCATCTTCAAATTTCCTCCAAACCTTCCTAACATTACATTTTACCATTACCACAGTTTACTGTACGCTCATCTACCTTGCCATTCAACTCCGTTTTCTTCTTGGCTTCCCTCTTCCCTTTTAAAAACAAACAAACAAACAAAATATGCATGCTTTCTGTGCTCTATTCAGCATACTTACATAACCTCCATAATATGTCTAAGGATTTTAATTTCCTCACTTTTGGGGTCTTTTTGATTAGGTTTGTCCCTTTAAAAACAAAATCCCTCTCTAAAGTTTAGGTGTCACAGGGCTAGCTTTCATATGATCCTCCTGCTAAGAATGTAAACTTGATTATATTTGTGGTTCAATTATAGTTGAACTTTGAAGTTCAATTATAGTTATTTCCTTGGGTATTTATGATGTAACAAACCTACTGATTCTCCAGTGAGCTATAGTCTTATTGGAAAACTAGGGTACATAAGACCTGCATTTCTACAGTATTTTTTCCCCTGAGAAAACCTTTCAGACTTTCTTTGTATGCCATAAAGGAAGGGTGAGGGGAGAAGGCAAAAACATACAAGCCCAACCTTCCTTCTTGTGCAGATAATCTTCAAACTCATTAATTCAGATCCTCCTTCTACACAATTATAGAAGGAAGTACAACAATGACTTTGCTTTACTAATGGAAATTAACTCTAGCCTTCTAAAAAATGTCTTTTGCCCTTAAATTATATAAAATACATCATTTGTGTATTTGCATAACTCTCTCTAAAGAAAATAATTTTTGTATTTGGAAAAGCCTATGTGCAAAAAACTTTTCCGTAGCACAGTCATGCACTTCTTAAGAAGTCACTAAAGATAGAGACACAACCCGTGAAGACTTTAAATATAAACAGTAAGTGCATTTCTTCAAACTTGGTCCTCCAACTTCTACCTTGTTAAAAGAGACATTCTGTTCCAGTGGATTAAGTGTGTTGGCAGCAGCAGCTGCAGCTGTAAGTTGTGCTGTGAGGGCCTGTAACTGAACGACAAGACCAGCATCCAGCGCTTGAAGTAGTGAAGGCTGTGGCTTCTGTTGTTGTATTTGCAGTGTCTGTATTAACTGCTGAAGCTGGAAGAAAGAGAGCGATAACTACATTAACAAAAAAATAACTCAGCTAGCTTTTTGCCCTTCTCATGAATAAAGTTCTCACCAGTGTAGTATATCTATCTCAGGGCTATAATTTCAGTTTAGTCTGTTGGTAATTACAGCAAATTATATTCCCACTTACTGGCTAATTTGTTTTCTGCGGCTCAGACAAGATACTGTAGACATGAGGTTCCACCTCCTAATTCGCTGATAGGTAGATGGCGACCAATCACAAGCCAGGATTTTTCTGCTTTCTAGGGTTCCCTCTTCTGCTTCTCCAGTTTGATTCCTTCTGATCTGTAAAATAATCTGTTAGCCTGCTCTACCCTCTTAAGAGCCCATCTAGATTAGGAAAAGTTGTACCAGTGTAGCTACACTGATGCAGAATAAGTTACACTGGTACATGCTCCATTTTATGCTGGTGCAGCATGTCTACATCAAGGCTTTGCACTTGGGTATCTATATTGCCTACAAGGCAAGTCTCATGTTGAAGCTTGGGCTTAACAAGTCTAACAATGGGAGGAGTTTGTGCTGTCTCAACCAAGCCACAAAAAGCAAATTAGCCAGTAAATGGGAATATAATTTGCCTTTTTGTGGCTCATCTTGCGACAGAGCAGATACTGGGTTCTGTACAGCAGTATTTCATGAGAAAACACTCTAGGAAGGAAGGGAGAACAGGAGACTCATGGTTGAATCAGAAGAGGGAGTCTGAAGGCACAAGATGGGTAATAAGAGGAACAAGAACCCCAAAGGCCTCCATCAACTCTCCTGAACGGAGTGGTCCAAGCACTCTGCAGCTAAGGGTGGCATCTGCACATTAAGCAGATAATGAGCAGTTTAAAAAACAAGAAGTACAGGGAAATTTGAAAATCTTTTCTATTGACACCTTCCCTCTGCAGCCCAGAGGTCCATGACTCTGCTGGGATGGGTACAAAGCTCAATGGAGAAGGAACTTTTACAGTCTTTTAAATCTCCTGGAAACTGGACTTGAATCATTTGGCCATTACATAACAAGATATCTTGAGCCGTAATGAGAATGATACATGGGGTTCTGTTTCTCTGAAGGTTTCTAGGCTAAGTACACTATAAGGACCACCCTGAGATCCAAGGTGTGTCAAAAATGTCTGTTCCCGGTTTAAGATTAGGACAAACTCTAAAGGGAGGTGTCCTATTTAGGTGAAAAGAAGCTGTGACTTTTGAAGAAAAAAAAAAACACTATGATAGATGTACCACTACGGAATTCTAAATATGGAAGACTACAGGAACACATGAAGAGTCTTCTGAAATAAAATTATTACTACCTGAAAAGCGCCTTCAGGGCAAAGAACTACAAATCTACCAAGTGAAGAAGCTCCCTTCAGATAGTACCTACCCACCTTGCTAGTGCAAAGGGGAAAGAAGCTCACCCATATGGAAAGAGGCTCTCCCCAAGGTAACCTCAGACTAGAAGGAGTAGGTGCTTCAATACTTTCATGAGATAAGACCCCAGTACCCTAAATCTCTGGATCTTGTTCGGCACTCTTGAAGGGGTTGGGCATCTCTGTTTGAGTGGTCCAGCCCATACTGCCCTCAGGAGGCCAGAGTACCCCTTTTCGATTTCTCTCACCTTAATTCCGATGTGGGAATTTTTTTCTACATAATGCAGGACAGAGGGTTTTTTTCCAGCTGGATGAACTGGAATCCCAACTATCTTAAGACTTCATACAAAAAGTTTTTGTCAAAGATCTTACTCCTAGTGAACTTAGTTTGTAAGCCTCAGTTTTTCTTAGGGTTCAACCTCCAGCTCGCTAAAGGTTCAAGCTGATGAGTGGGATAGTTAGATTCTTTCTCCCTGGTGTCATGCTTCCTGAAGATGGTGACCCTTTGTTACTAAGAGCCACTGGGAAGTCTGTAGAACCTCACAAAAATTCATGAACTGATGCCTTGCTCCACTAATGCTTTGTAGAGAGCCTCTGCTGCTGAGAGGGAGTTTGTCTCCCCTTTTAGTGAAATTGGGCAGCTGATTTTGTCGGTCATAGGCCACAAAGCGCTTCAGCCACTGCTTTATTCCACTAACAGGGTGGAGGCTTTGTTCAGTCAGAGCAGAAAATTTCTTAAGGCACCCAGGGGAAAGAACCGACTGCAAGGGATACAGCTGAGGTGTTCTCTTTTCTGCATGTGTGTGCTTAAGAGACTATGGCCATGTCTAGCCACCATTTGACGTCAACTTCTTGTGTGTTGCTCTGAGAGAGGCAGGAATCAAACTGAAGAAGCTGAGGAGGAAGCCCTAGAATGGGAAAATCTTGGATGATTGGTCACCATCCTGCCTGTCTCTATACTCCTGCTGGGTACCATCTCTCTCTCCTTTTACTGTTTCTACAAAATACAGTTCTAAAATGTGAAGGAGGGAATCATCTAACTACCTAAGACCTCGTTTTCCCTTCCTCTATATATTAATGTTATCTTCAATATATATTGCCATACTCCTACTGCGTCCCATCTTTCCTTTCTCTTACCTTTTGATCCACAAGCTATTTCTGTACCTTCTGCCATCCTTTAAAGACTAACTCCCTTCTGGTCTGCACAGTCTAGTTTTTCTTCCTTTATTGTTGTTTCTTCTTCCTTTTTCCTTTTTTTTTTTTAATATCCTCTGGCCAGCAATCTTTGAGCTTTCATACAATTCCTACTCCATATCTCCCCATTCTTACTTTACATCTCTCCTTCTCTAGGACACCACTCCTACCAAATCCTACTTTCCCCTATTCCATGTTACCTTTTTGCCCCACCTTTCTTGACAGGCTCTCCACCTCACTCCGGTACCCTCTCACTCAAGTTCCCATTGTCAATTTCCCTGAGTCATGACCAGAATAAAAATCTTCCTGCCTCAAACTTCTGGTCAGTTACAGATGGCACGGCTTATCTGAACACAGCAAAATGGTTGCACTTTTAGCCCTTGAGATGGCAGCATCAGGACTGGTGCTTGATACTGTGGCAGTCCCTACTCACTAATTTGGGTGGGATATTTTTAGTGCCCCAACATAGCAGCCATTGAACATCTCCTACATACAAGGCCACCACTACAGCCCTCTCAAATTGGGATAGTAGGGACTGCCAGAGTAGCAGTGTATGCCATTATTACCTGAAGATGAGGGCCTACATTTTCAAAAGGGCTACTGATTTTCAGTGTCCAACTTATGGAATGTTGACATGGCCTGATTTTCAGAGAACAGATGCTCAGCATTTTCTCAGCATCAGGTACCTAAGATGTATCAAGCTGGGCATTCATACACTGAGGTACCCACATTCAGACACTTTTGAAAATGTAGACCAAGAGTCATATTAAGGATACTGATAACTTCCTGAATATCCTGAGAATGAAAGTAAACGGAATATTTAAAGGTGAACTGCAAAAGAAAAATTAGAATTGAGTTAATCACAGACGTCTATGTTGAGTATCCTCCACTACATAGAGACGTGTTTTAACTTACAGGATGTATTCAGCATAGAAATAAGTTTCAACTATCATTTAAGGCACTCCTCACCCCCCAAATTAAAAATATTTTGTTACTTCCTGATTCACTGAAGATATGCTAGAAGGCTCCCTCTGTAAATACCATGCATTGTATGGGCTGCAATGAAGCTTTTTCTGGTGTCTGATGTCACCTTCTTGGATACATTCAGTGAACCAAGAGAATTTCAAAAAGGATAAAAAGAATTGTTAAATGTTGCTTCAAACTTATCTCTGGAGAATGATCTCTATGAACTGGTTATACTGAGGACAAATTTTTAAAAATAAATTAACAACACTGATAAATACTCTCATGTGTATCTATCATACACAAACACTGTAGACTACATACAGTACAAAAGTCTAATTACCTACAAAAAGTATTTACCTGTTGGCCTTGGGGACTCTGTAAGATTTGTGCAACAGCAGCAAGTGTATCTGTATTAGCAATTTGAGACACCCAAGGATCAGGTAAACTTTGTACCACATTGGCTGGAGTAACAGGGGTCACAGGAGTTCCTGAAAGAGGGAAAGCAAGGTAGAGCTAAGTGTTGTTAACATACCATTTTTCATATACATAAAGTACAGCAGTAAAAATTAAAACTGCAATTCAGAGTCTCACTGAATATGGCAGTTTATTTTACATTATGGACCAACTGCATAAAAACAATTTTTGAACTGTAAGAAGCCACAAAGGTTACACTTCTACGTAGCGATTTTTAAATGTCTGAAATGAAATATGGGTTTGTAATTTAAAAAAAAAAGTTTTGGTACTAAATGTAGTGCTCTGGATAAGTGCCACATTGACATCCATGGAAACCATCAATTTCTTTATACACAGAAAAGCACAGCGTGGCAGGAGTAATGCAAACTTCCCCACCAATGTGCCTCAATTGGTGGAAATACCTGTAAGTGAGTCTCATGACACATTCTACTGTTGGCCTGTCTGCTGGGACTGCCAACAAGAATGCCACTGAAGGCAAAACGTGGTAGTGTTCATTGTGATCTGAAATTTGGAGGGAGTCTCCTCTATTATGGAGAACTTCTCTTGTGTTTTAGGGGAACTGAGGGAGATCTGAACTGGTTTCAAATTCATTTTTAGTCATCAGATGGTAATGGCTTCTGGTAACTACAGAGATGGCCATGTTTGAAAATACAGGTGAAAATGTTCAATAGTCACTACCATGCTCCAAAATACTATTGGACCAATGAACAATCCTTAATACTATTTTAAACTTAGCAGCATTACAAGATGGATGTAATCAGGAAAGATGAGGAACACAGTCAATTTTGATGTTACAAATTGCCTTGGGCTAAGTCATTTTAAAGACATAGTATAAATTATAAAACTGTAGTTAAAAATGTTTTTTCCATAGAAATGCTCTTATTTGTGTTATCAAAGATCAAGAGTCCAATTTTGCTAGGTGCTGAGCAGACACGTAACAAAATAGAAAATCCCAACTTAAGAAAGAGAGCTCACAATCAACATTTCAGACAAGACACAGCAAGTGAGCAAAAACAGACAAATGGGGTGAGGGTAGGTTGAGGGGATAAGGCAGCAATAAAATAAAAGAGTTAAACAGAAAAGCAGAAATCATATATCACTATTGGCCAAACCAATATCATAAGATAGTGATCTGTAGACATCACGGAAGAGGTAGGTTTCACACTTGGGCAAATATTCAGCTACCCAAAAGACTCAGTAGTCTTCATTGTAGACTACCTTACAGATGATAAATTTTAAAATATTCATACAAATAGAGCAACTGCTAGAAGAGGAAACAGGTGAACAACTCTGGCTTTGGAGAGATGTTGGCCCTAGAGAAGGAAGCAGCTCCTGGCCTGATGCAAGATAAAACTTTAGGGAAGAGATACACTTGCTCCACAGGTAACTATAATAAAGATATCCAGTAACCTGCAACCTTGCTGCACTCTCCCAGCTCATCCCCAGGTTGGGCCTGCCTACTTTACTCATAATTTCCACCCACAGCGGTCAGATTCCAGGCGTAAGAGTCTCCTCTGTTTTGTCTTTCTCCTATCCAAATTCCTTTGGGAATAAATATTTCTGAGTCAAAAGGTAAGAATTCCCAGGCTGGTATTTTGCTGATTAGTTCCATGCTGTAGTTTTGATGAATTCTGCTCCAGATGTCAGAGCAAACCCCCTCCCTTCCTGTAACTCAGAAGTGAAGGCAAGGGCTGAACAATGCCAAATCCAAAATACTGCAATAATGTTTTAAAAAATAATCCACATCAGATTTCATAAAGTGTTAGTACCGTAATAAGTGATGATACCAGCAGTTTAATGCAGTAAAAAGAGTACGAATATAAAAAAATGCACAAAAGAGACATGAAGCTCAAGCAAAGTGCTTACCTAGTTCACATAATAAACTATATACATATATATACACACACAAACACACACACAAACTAATAGGTATAAATACGTTTATCTATATTTTGGATTTTCTACATAAATAGTGCACATTTAAATTATTTCATGTATATTAGTCTGATTAAGTCTACACAAACAGAAGAAAATCAAACTCCCTGACTATAGGCAATGTCAGGGCAATTCCTTAGATTATCAGTTGAGTATGATCATATGTACAGCAAATAGAAATATAAATTTTGCTTGAAGTAAATGCAAGACAATGATCCTCAATAAGGGATTCTCACATATTTATGGCACCAATATCAAACGAGGTTCCCCCCCTCCCCCGCCCATGATTTTTCATTGACCCATTATTTGTATTTGAAACCATAAAACCATTTCTTACTGGATAAACCAGGGTGGAAGTTTGTTGAAAAAAATAAAAATTGGATTTTTTTATTTAAATTGGATTTCTTAAATTTTAATATTTTTTTTCAATAAACTTATTTAAAATTAAATTTGAAATCACAACCTATGATAAACCTAAATTTACAATAATCTATTATAATTTAAATCAAATTACAAAATTAATACTAAGCAGTACAGGTTTGTTGCCAAAGTTTTTAAGAAAGTCAACTACTGAAGTGGAAGTTACTGGCTAAGTACCTGGAACTAAAGTTCGTAGAAGTGCTAAACCAAATTTTAACAGCAGAAGCCTTTTTTTGCAGGTGAAGAGAGAATATATTCTTCATTTCAGTTTATTCAACTAGTGCAGTTCAGTGACTAGTTCATTCAAAGTTAAGAAACTGAATGGAAGTTGAATCCAATCTATGAATAGAAACTAGGTATGAAAGGATGAGATCTGCTAGTTCTGAAGTCTTGGAGGACATGATGACCAGAAACAATCAGTTCAACTCACTAGCTACAAATACTACTACTTTTGATTTATAAATCAATTGTTTTAAATGCAAAACATATTTTGATGAACTTTTTTCTTATGTATCCAACACATTTAAGATGGTTTTATTTAAGAAATAAAAACATTACAATGCTGTTTTTGTGCATTTTTAATTCCAAATTCCATCCAAATAGAGTTGACACAAATCACAAAAATGAATCATCCAGTAAACAAGAAAATGCACTGTTCATATTTTCTAATATAATAAAAAATATAAAAACTAAGAATCTGAGTAAATGTAAGTTAAGCTATATAAAATGCTTAAATAAATGTGTATAGATACACTGTATCCTCCTGGTTAGCAAAAAGAAATTCCAATTTTAGGGTAAAGTCTATATTATATTGCAATTCAACATTTTAATGAGAATCAACTCTTCTTTAGGAAAATAACTTAAAAGTACAAATGCAAAACAAAATTGAAATGGATTATTTAAATCAAGATTTATCACTTGATATTTAAATCATGATTAAAACTGTAATTTAAATTGCGCTGATTTAAATCAATGCACCCTTGGACAAACTGCATATTACAAATAAAGAAAGCATGTGTGGTTGGTAAGTAAATGTAACTGGCATGGTCACTTTCTATTTATGGTACTTCCCTGATCTACATGCTGGTTAGTTATTAGTAGATCAACTTTTGCCCTTCAAACCATTCAATTTAGTTTTAATACTTGCCTGGAGGCTAGTGAAAATTTTGGTCCAATTTCAAGCATGTCAAGTTGACAAATGATGATAGCCGAACAGAAAATTCTGTTACAAATGTTGAAGCAAGCTTTCCAATTCACTGAGAGACTTATATCCCATTTTCCTTTACCTGGTGTATTGTTGCTCATAGCAGCTGTTGTACTGGGCAAGACTGGAGTCACAACTGGAGGAGGAATTCCTGCTGCCATATCCAGGAGAGGCTGAATAATTTCACTCTTGAATACATTATTCTTCTGCCACAAATTTAGCACTCTAACAATTTTACTCTAAAGGAAAAATAGGACAACAAAAGGATTAAGGCTAGAAAATTATATGATGACTATCATGTTTGATACTGTCAATTTATGAAGGTAGAAAGGCTTGCGTATTTAGAAGCATACTAGAAAAGTATTAGTTTGGCTTCTCCAAATTCTGTACTCTTATTCTTGGGGAATAACACCAGAAAATTATCTTAAGGGAATAATTTAAGAGTTATCAACACTTAAAAACTAGAAATCTTTCCTCCCCTCCTAGCATTTTAACAAAAGCACATATTAAACATGGCTCAAATTTATCTACCTCTGAGCACCAGAATCATTTGTGTCCACTGAAATGTGCACAACTCAGAATAATGACAGTTACCTACTGCTGCTGAGACAGCAGAAGGAGCCCAAAACTGTGTGTGTAAGTCATGCTAGAGGCTATTTTTAAAATGTAATTTTGTTGATGAAGTAGTATATTTGAAAGTATTAATCTGGAAGAGCTTTCGCACCAAATTACAATAATTATACAGTATTGCAGTAATATAGATGAACTTTGGACTTAGATGTCAGTTTCCTTTAGCACGCTGCAAGAAACTATGAAACCATAGTCTCAGCAATTTCATACAGAGAATTGTGATGTCAATTTAACTAGATCATTTTAAATCAACTTAAGCTTACAAAAGGTGCTTTCATCCTAAATCTGTTTTGAGTTGCTCTTACCTCTCCAAAACCTTCAATTATATGCTGAAATTTTCTGTGTTTTAGCTTTGCCCAAAGGTGATTTTTTTGAAAGTTTGAACAAAACTACATTTAGCAACTTTTTAAAAACGTGACAGAGTTGGGAGCGAGGGAAGAGGGGAAAAGAGTAATTTTCCATGTTATCAAACCATGTTCTCACAGCCTTCTCATGAACAACTCTAGCACAGAAATTTCAGGAGATAGAAAGTTGAATCTGGTACAGAAATAGCCTTCATTGAATGCTTTTGTGTGTTACCAGGAAAACTGCTTTTGATTTATC